AAAAGATTCACAGTAAAAAGGTCAGCCTCATTTTCAAGTCCTAGTTCGGAGGTGGCATTTGAGCACTTTGTGCTTGTCTTGTCTAATGGAATGGTGAAAAACTTGGCACGAAAAAGTATAAATAAAGACAACTATCTTCAATGGTAAAGATTTTGCAGGCCTCAAAACTTGTTTCATATCAATCATATTCATAACACATTTTTTAAGAATCTAATTTTTGCTGTTTGCCGTTTATGGCCGCGTCACTCAAGTCTACTTGAACCTCTCCACTCTCATAAACGAAAACATGCGGAGCTTTCTCGATGATTAGCACATGCACCAGAAATAAAATGCTTCTACTGATTGATACACCGCAGTACGCAAGGAAGTAAATGCTACGCGTTGTATGTTTCGGTATCTGTAATCTGTATCGCGTAATATCAACATGAGCAAAGCCCATCCACTGGAATTAAAGAAGTTTATGGATAAAAGATTGGATTTAAAGTTAAATGGTGTACGATCTGTTGCGGGTATATTGCGAGGTTTCGACCCTTTTATGAATCTACACGTGGATGATGGAACAGAGCGTAGAAAAGATGGGACCATTGCACCTGTTGGAATTGCTGAATGGTGGTCGTTCGTGGAAATTCGATATTAATGTTGGAAGCATTGGAACGGATACAATGATTTTACACTGAACTAACCGAAAACGACAAAAGAACCCAACACCCCAATCCATGATTTGTGCATAGACTGCTATGGAACATTCAATCCATTTACCTAGCTTGTTTTTTAGTATAAAAAATTTGTCACTGTGTTACTTTTGCAACGTAATTGAACTAGGCCTACAGCATCACCATTTTTCGGCAGCGAGTGTTCTTTAATTCATATATCTGTAGGAAAAGCACATACACGTCTCACATTTAAATTTGAATTTATAAGATATTGCCCGATGTCACATCGTGTTTTTGTTTTTTTTGTGTTTTGACTGTTTTTTCTACAGGGGTGGTGACTCCTCTACGGCCCATGGGCCGGGGCCACGGCCCATCTAATTGGGCCACATGGGCCGTGGCCCATCAAGCTATGGGCCGCGGTCCATCAGAAAAAATTCAATTATCTTACCAAAATTTTCAATCATAGTATTCTGACCAAAAAAAAAATCGCGGGATGCCAGTATGCCACCAAACCTTTTTGTTACAATAAGCCTTTACATAAAAATAAAGCAAAATACCAAGCTACAGAAAAGTATACACCTGAAGTATGTGTACCAGGTTAGGGTTAGGACAAAATTTTGTTCAGATTTTTCACATTATAGGCCTAGTTCTATTATGAGTTCGGGGAGTGGGTAGGATTTACATATTTATTAGTCTTTATTATTTTATCCCTTTACAAAAATTGATGGGCCGCGGCCCATAGCCTGATGGGTCGAGGCCCATTTCGATGGGCCGTGGCCCCGGCCCATGGGCCGTAGAAGAGTCACCACTTCCACTCTGTTTTTTGGGGACGAGTTTTGTTTGCCCTTTGTTGTTGTTTTGTTTGTATCAGAGTGACCAAATAAAATTGATTGATTGATGTAACTCCGCGACAAATTGGAAAAAACACTGGCCAAGCAGTCGGGTCCCAGGCAAAATGTCCTAGTTTTAACCTCTGGCTCTTCAGCACGAGTTCATCTGCATAGGTGAGATGTGTTTTTATTAGGTATATTCCCAGGATCATGTTGTTTTTCTCTGGGGAAATTCCCGGGTTGTATATTTATTTATGGGTAATTCCGTATTCATTAAAAATGTGCGAGCAGCTGTAGTAAAACATCTATTAATTAAGAATAAAATGCACTTAACTTATCATAATTTGGGTTGGCTAAGGTGCCGTCATGACAATGGCTTTGCAAATTTTACGATTCTTCGTTTTAGATTTAGATGAATGAACACATCGTTAAATCAAATTCAAACTGACAGGTTCGTAAAATAGTTTGTTTCAATAAGACTGCATACTTTCGTTCATATTTCCCTCCAAAACAGTTTGTATGACTCAGTGTATTGTAGTATCACAGCGGTTTATCGCAAGTGTGGCCTTGCCATTATTATTCATGGCTCAAGCTACATTTCTATTTTTGGCCACTTCATGACTAGTAAGTTACGTCCGTAAAAAAGCGCGCGATAACACTCTTGTCACGATTTCTTCGCAGAGCTCAAAATATATGTAGGCTACGTATGTTTATTTGTCTTAAAAATGTAACAGTATCTGCATGATAATTAAACTGTATAACAGATACATGTTCAAGACCTTACTGGCCTAAGACACAGATGTGCGACATGCACCCCAACAAGTGTAACTGCAGTTTTGGACGACAGTCAGTTTATGGCACGTTCATGTCCCAGATTCTGGTGTGAAGGGATGAGAATAGGGTACCGGTATAAATCACATTTTTGTGTGTTTTCACAATAGATTGTACAAAACAAGTAAAAATTCACGTCATTACAAAAAATAAAGTAAAATGGTTCTCCGAAATTGCAGAAAGTAAAAACATATGTAATCACTGTATTTTATTCCGCCATTATAGAAGTAAAAAACATCGGGTCTCATGTATTTCGTACCTAACATACTTCTAGTGGGCGTAGCATAACAATTTTTTCACGTGTCAATCCTAACCCCCACCTGACCACACCATCCAAAAATTACGTCACTACGACATCAGAGTGACGTAATAGACCCCTTCAAACTATGCGAACTGTCATTCAAGACGCGCAGACGAGAACCCGAAATCGAACAGCCATTTCTCTCGTTTTCTCGTCGCATCGATCCCGATAGGAGAGAGATCGCTGACGTTAGTCAGTTCTTTATCGTCGGCGCCGATGCCATTTCGGGCGATCGTACGAGAATTTGGCAAGCTCTATGACGTAATTGTGACGTCGTAGTGACGTAATTTTTGGATGGCGTAGTCAGGTGAGGGTTAGGATTGGCATGTCAAAAAATTGTTATGCTACGCCTACTAGAAGTACGTTAGGTACGAAACTACACGATACCCAAAACATCCCATTTCATAACCACACTTAGCCTGTATATAACGTTATACCGGTACCCGGTTTTACGGTACAGTATAGCCTATACCAGTGATGGTGAACCTTTTTCAATGAATGGGTCAAAAATTATATTTTTATCGCGGAACAGAAGAGAGTGGGTCACAGATATTTAATCAATGTTTGTATCTATAAAACTTCAGAAACAAATCTCATAAGCTTCTGTTGTGTTGGTGTAGTTTTGGGCTTTACTTATGCAGCACTTCTATCAGGGATTTTTTATGGCACTCGATTTTATGAAATTAAAGTACGAAAACACGCATATGAATTGTCAAAAACGTTTAGGATGATGCGGAAAATTATTTCACGGTCCCAAAGAGTTTGAAGGGAATTCCACCCTGAAAGTGTTATATTTTTTGATCAGCTTTCAACCACATTAAGGCACTTTTACACTGCCCCATTGTTATTTAAGATTACTAGATTTTATTTCAAGTCTGAATGATTTTGTTTTCTCAACGGCATTGTAGGCAAGAAACTATTAAAATGCGAAGGCGCATCTATAGTTCTCGTATAACCCCTAAAACAGTCTGCATATGCACTTCCGAAAGAGACAAGATGTTGCAAGAAATGAACAGATCAATTGCATGGTTATGTCATAAGCGATCTCACAGCCAATAGCTGAATAACCCTACACCGCGGTGGAAACCAAAGCGTATATATAATACAGACATGCGTCCAAGAATAGGGGTTTTGAAAATTACCATATTGGCCCGGAAATTATCAATTCGGATTTGAGCGATCGCAGCCCTGACTGCCCAACTGACGGTACATTATATTAGTTTAGATATATTGTTAGATTAATTTAAGGCCGGTTTTATCACTGATATGTTAGAATTTTTTTTTTTTTATTTCATTCGTGCCTTGGCGGGTCACGAATAAAACACGGTGGGTCACTTTGTGACCCGCGGGTCAGTGGTTTGCCATCCCTGGCCTATACGGTAATAAGTTTATTAAGGGATGGTGAATTCTAGTACCATACTATACCATACCGGTAGTACTATAAAAACTTAAATGAGTTGATATAGGCCTAGCTGGTTAGAGCTGGATGAAGAATAGCACCACATTTGTAGTATTGTAGTTGCAGTATTGCAATACAGTAATATAAAGATATTATTTATACTGTCTGACTGTACACAGATATGTTCAGGTATTTCTCTATTTCATTTGATACATTTGAAAATCTTTACTGCTTTATGTTAAATTAAAGAACTTTCTGTAATACGGAATCCCAGATCTAGTCTGTTTTTTTCAGATTTTTTTTTAAATTTTAGATTGCGTACCTGTATGCAGGTGTGTCAAATAGCATGAATAGTTTGTTATTTTTATTCAATGCAATGATATTTATTGTAAGCGTCAAGGACAACTTTTGAAAAATTGACTTTGATATGACAGTATGATAGACTATCACCCGACCATGCCTTCACCCCAACCTCAAGCAATCACAGAATCGAGGCAGGAAACGAAAGCCAACAAACGGACACAAGCAACTAGGCGATGTGGCTAAATGTTACTGCGTTAGGAATACGCTCGCCACAGGTTCGAATCCTGTGGGAATAATTATGTGCGAGAGCATTGCTGGTTCACGTAACACTGTCGGTTATGGCTTGCCTTCCACAGTTCCACCACCATCATAAAGTCCATTCATCTGAAACAAATAACTGGCTAACTAATCCTGTAATCCCAAGCCTGACATGAACTGATAACCCCACGAGAGGCTGTGGTTCACTATATGATTAAGCTGTATTATCCACTTTCCTCTCTCCCGGGTATAAATATGGTCCTAAGCTATCCAACTCTACAAGATCATTCTGACCAGTTATGCATCAGTGCCTACATTTAGTGGCAGAGTCAGATTTGTACTAGCTAACCAGACAGACCCCACCACTGAAAATATGTTACTTTAATTAAAAAATATAATTTGTTTTTATTATGATTTGTTAACAAGAATATCATGTTTCTGCAGATCATCATTTTTATTATTGATTAACTTTAAATAACAAACATTGGCAAGTAAATAAAAAACAGTGAAACAGATATATTAATATGGCATCTGATGATGCATATGTTTATGTTTACGATCGTAGATCGTCTACATCTGAAGGAAAGACAATTACCATTGGAGGTGTCTTTGGCTTTTCTGAGTTTCGTGATAAAATTCTTCAGGTAAAAATATAACTAAGATTTGTTCTCGTTCTCGTAAATTCATATAATATATGTCATCAATGAAATACTCAAGTCTATTGATTGACTTTTGTTTTTATATATCTGTATATGTATGTTATATATACATGTCAAGATATTATTTGTTATAAATTGGGTTCTCATAGCATAGATAAAAAAAGTTTACATATGCTCAGTTTTTGGCATTTAAGGCGATTGGCATCCATTATGTTTATTGCATATTCAGACCTTCAATCTCCAACCTGATGATGAATTTGTTATTACAACAACAAATAGAAATGTTATTGCAGATGATGAAGACTATGGTATGCTTGCTGTAGTGTTTGTGTTCAATAAGAGTCACAAAAAGGATGTCATATTATTTCGAGAATATATATACTAAAGCAGTGTAATTTTTATTGGAATCATGAATAATTTATTACAGCAATAAGCAAGCGCCAGTTTCCCTATTACCAGTAGCCAATTCTATAATGGATGGTTCTAACTTTTTTGCTACCTTCCCCCCTTTACCTATTTTGCACTATGGGCTTTGTACAGTTTCTATATTTCCTTCACAAAAAACATGAAATTCCTCAGTGATAGGGCAATTGGGTAACACTCATATAATGTTTAATAACAAGCCCATGTGTTGCTAATTAGTGAGATGGTCCAATGCTAAAACAAAGACTGAGACATGTTATCAATATCACACAATGAAGTTTTTCAATTCGTTACATTGTTAGTCTCTAGTCAGTCCCTATACACTAAAGTGATAATGACCAGCTTTCTGCATACATAATGTATATGGTTTCAAGCTTCTGCAAAATTTTAATTTTAAAACTTTATTTTTAGTGAATCTGATTGAATCCGCAGATACCTTGTATATACTCAAATCAGTTGTGCAACCTCTGGCTGCACCAGTTGCTGAGAAAATAGAATTTCAGCCTCATTATGACACATTGATTAAAAGTGGAATATATGAGTATTATGCCAGTGAAGGACACATTAACCCTCTTCGTAAGTATGGATTGAGAATAAAACCAACTGTAAAACTATCTATTTCTCACACTGCTAAAACTTTTTGTTAATATTTGCTATTAAGGGGATTTTTTTTATTTGTGTGGATGCATTTTTAATGGGATAAGAATTTGTCTAAATTTGCAATTTTGATGAATTATTGTTTGAAAAAAATGGCATTTGTATAAGTAGAATCCATAATTTATAGCAGTGCTGCACATAAAGAACAACTTTTCATAATGACCCTAATTTCGAATTATTCAAACCCAATTGTTCATATTTTTTCTATGCCTGCTTTCAGCAAACCTGTGGTATGGACTATGGGGTATGTTTTGCACAACAAAATGAAATGATTTGACCTTTATGAATACGATCAAATCTTTACCTATCGTTGTATATGACATATACTTTTATTTATAGCATTTGCATTTGCTGAACTGATTGATAATGCTCTTGCTGCAACTGTTGACAATAAAGGATCACGAAATATTGAACTGAGTTTGGTTAGTAACCACAAATTTATTGTTTATCGACATCATTTCTTTAGAAAGATTGTCCAAAATATTTAGTGAACACAAAATTTGAGTTTACTGATGTTTTACATGATATTTATAAGGAATAATATAATATAATCAAAACTAGGTACGGTATTATATTTCATCAAAATAATATTGAAATCACAATATATGTCTCAATTTAACACTGATTAATTCTTTTTTTTAAAAGTATTGGTACTCCCGTAGTACGTGTACCAGGTTAGGGATAGGCCATAATTTTATTATGATTTTCCTTATTTTAGTTGTGTTCTATTACGAGTTTGGGACTGTCTATGTTAGCCAAGTGAATATCCCCACTGCCCATAGCTTTCAGTCCCTGTACACAACTTGATGTAAAATAGGCAAACACAATTAGTTATCATATTGGTACACATACTTCCGTATTTCCTAAATACAATTTGTTTGTACTTTATTGGTCAATTCATATTTTCATTGCAGCATTTTGATGACAGCAATGCAGGTAATCATGCTGTTTGCGTCACAGATAATGGAGTTGGAATGACTTCACGTCAGTTGAACAACTGGGCAATCTACAGACTTTCAAAATTCAATAGAACGGAGAGACATCCCAGAACGTAAATATTTTTCTTATTTTAGTATAAGCTTTATTATGCTTGTTTTACCTGATAGGAATTCCTCACATAATTTCTAATTGATCTTTTTAATCTTACTGAAAATAACAAACTAGAATTCATAAACATAATATTTGTTATTTAACCTAAATCTTTGCTGTCCAAGTGTCCAGAGTGCCAATTTACTGTTTTTAATCTTCTAAAGCAGTGGGTCTCAAACTTTTGAGGGTTTGTCAAGTCTTGCGCCCCACATCAAAAATAACTAGCTAAAATAAGCTAAAGTTAGTAAGACAAAAGTGGGTTCCATTAAAAAAAAAACATACGTATTACGTAAATAATGAAATAAATGGAAAGTTTTGAAATGTAAATATCCAAAATAAGGTGGGGAAGATCAAATCTAACGAATATTTTCATTTTTAATTACCGGTAGCTTCACGCCCGCTTAAAAAATTGTTTACACCCAAGGGTCGCACCCGCCATTTTAGAACCTCTGTTCTGAGGTAATGATGGATAGAAAAGTAGATATAAAGTCTTATTAATATATAAAAAAGAAACAAAAGTATGAAATTAGGAATCTAGTGTCCACAACAGCAAAGGTAGTAGAATTTTTTTTAGATATTTTAGTGGAAACCCTTCTTTTAGAAACTGTTTTTTCCAACGATTAAATTATTAAAGTGTGTTTTTGATGTAATTTACAGAAATTTGTTTGAAGATGCATTGATGGCAGATGATGAAAGACAAATGCTGACTAAGCACAATGAGCCGAAATCACTCAATAGTGATATTTCGTGGTTTGGAGTTGGAGGAAAACAAGCAATATTTTTTATTGGAAGTTCAACAAGGGTATTTATTATTGGATAATTATAGTATTGTATTGACGAATACATCTCCAAGTCTCTGCCTAGACTCTGATATATGTGTTTATGCATGAAGCTAAAAATCATTATTTTCTTTTTACGCTACATTCATATTTTTCGCTACTGTTTATTAATTGAGATTTATTTAGATTAATTTATAGTTCTTCTGAGTCTGAGACTTTTCAAACATTGGCAGAGTTATTATAATAATAAACCACTAACTCTCTGTAATCTTTTGTCAATGCATCTGATACCCATGATATGTTTTGACTTGCATGATAAATCAGTAGAATTTTTCGTTGTGTTGTTCCTTATTGTGCTTTTTGTTCAAGAACACATATTTGTGGGATTGCATTAGTTTAAAATATGTTATAAATGTCACATAAGCATAGCATAGTTATCTATGGACATAGCAGCATGTTTACAGCCTATAATAGGTGATATCTTCCATTTATTCACTTTGCTCAGATAATTACTCGTCCAAAAGGATCTTGCGATGTTCACGAATTTACATTATCCAAAGATGAATTCAAGCGCAAAGAAGCAAATAAAGAAACAATATACAGCGGGTATATAAGAAACAGGCCGGTAAATTGATTACTTTAATATTTCACTATTTCATCCCTATTTAAACATGGACATTCATAGCATTGCTAAAAAATGATGCTTTTTATTTATGACTGTGCAGTGTGCACTATATGCAAGGTTTAGGCTTAGTTGAATCAATATTGCAATTAAATATGGGAGTGGTGGCAAAATGCTGTTTTTTTAAAATAATAAATCAATTCACTCTGCATAAGTCTTAAATGTGGATGTGTGCATTCCTGATGCAAAATAGTCTGAAAATATTGTTGAAAAGTGTTTTGAAAGATAATCCTTGACATTTTTATGAGGTTAGTTTATATAGTTTTATGTGAGAGGTTGTACCTCGACAGCTTAGCATTTTACTATGTGAATCTAGGAGCATAGTCAAAATGAGTCGGTTCAGAATGTTTTTTCTTTTTTAGCCGTGTGATTATTCTCACATACCCAAAAATGAAGAGATTACAAAAAAATTAATTAATTCTGAGAATTCGATTGATTGGAAGAAAAATGGGTTCACCAATGTTGTCATCACAGGTAATCAAATTTAACAAACTTGAATCTATGCCATAAATAAGGTATGCATAAAAATAATCGAATATTCAAATTGGTTTAGAAGGTTAGGAATGATTTGAAATAGTTTTATTTAAATATCATTTTTAACCATTGAATTCCCACAGCATGATCAAAAAAGTCTTCGTTTAATTTCTTAAAAAGATAGAACGAACTAAATCACTGTTTTATCTTAAGATTACTTATCAAGTTCATATTCATTAAATAAATATTATTAACTTATATGTGTTTTTTATTGCGCATGGCCCAAGTTGAAACATATATGATAATCCAAATAAAAATCACAATTCAAAATAGTAGAATTTTGGGTTTTCACCCTCAACAATGTCATCTCTTTTGTCTTATTAATTGGAATTTTTTTTGTCTGTAATTTGATTAATTCAAAATTCTCTACCTGATTTATTTTAGCATCAAATTTTATTAGATATAGGGTTTAAGCTTATGTGAGTCTGTCATTGTCTGAATCAAGTTCGTCGCCTCTTGTTTTTCAAAATGGCTATGTTGAGAAACTGTATTATTGTCATAACAGGCATTGATTCAAAACATGTCAAATTTATGAAGCAAGACTTTGGACTTTGGACAAGGCAGTTGGCGTAAGTATTGTATGCTATTAGGAAGGTTACACATTACATGCAATGTTATTGGTAAATTGTAGTTTGATTTTTCCTGGGTTTCTTCCCGCTATGTTTGGTAGCATTTTTATCTTGTTTGCATCTATAAAATACTGATACTGAAATTGCTGATGACCCTTTGGCTTTTGAAATGGAAGTGTCACTGGTGCTCTCTAAAGATTTTTTGATCTAATCCAGACACATATATCACTACTATATTCATGGACCTGAAGGAAACACAAAAATGTCTAAGGAAAGAAGAAATGTTGGTGCATTAGATGTCAATATTACGGTAAACTTTTCTTGAAAGTCCTTTCAATTATTGATTATTCAATTGTTGGGCAAAGAGTCATGAGTCATATGTAATACATATACATGTTTGTCAGTGTGTGTTTACATTAGTATTGATAGTTTTTGCTGCTAGTAAACCAGTGTGTACTAAATGCTACATATTTTATTTTTTCACATTGTTAAATATCCAAAATGCAAAAAAATTGTTTGAGTGTGCTGGCATCACAGGTTAAAGATTGCAGGTTTAATAACCCCTAGCCCATTTCCTCACTGCTAATTGGGTATGCAAGACTGAACCAGAAAGCTTCTAAAATATAGTAGATCTCCACATATCAGCAGCAGTTTGTACTGGGTATTACTATTAGCGAAAATGTGGAAAGTATATTCTCTGAGTAGAATTACTACTTAATGCATTTTAAAATAGGAGCCATGTATCTCATAATACAGTTATATTTCGGTAGTCGAACATAATTCGTTCAGGATTAGTGTTCAAATACCGCATTGTTCGAGTTTCGGAACTTTCCTGTTTCCTCTTTCTTTCTTGTTTTTACGCATTCCAAAATATCAAAAATACAAAACAAGTACCTGATCAATAATAATGTTTCAAATGTGTACATAATGAAGATAAAATTATAAAAAATAATTGTATCAGTTGGCAGTGTCGGTATTTGTATGGTTGCACAAATTTCCATGGGATTCGTTTCATGTGTGCTATGACATCATCAAAAATGATGCACCTTGAGGCGGTTCCGTATTTGCTTTTGTCGTAAAGATTGCAACCCCTTTAGTCTTTTGTGACAGATTGCATAACCGCACTACATCAATTTGGTCTTCATGTTCTTTGAGCATCATTCTCTTGTTGAATGGTTAAGAGGCAGCCGAGTTACGTGCTTTGAGTGACGTTATCTCACCCGGCAGCGCGCTTGTGTGTTCGATCACTGAATTTCTGCTGTATTTTTGCCTAAAATTTTTAGTCAACTTCTGAGGTATCACTGTACCAAAATTTCACGAATGCATTGTACTGTATTATGATTAGTATTATGATTGTACCAGTTAAAGTAAAAGAGGGTTGTTTTAGATGACGGTCCTAAATTCAAGTTGAAAGGTTATTATTTGCCTTAAGATATCCATTCATGAACGAGGTAAGCCAACAGCCACAGTTAATCTACATGACATAAACGATGATCTGGAATCTCAGTATATTCGTACTGCATTCGATACATTCGAATTTAAAGTGAAGACTGATGGGGGTAGCGGGATTGTGGAAGGAAGCATAAGATATCATCCGTTTTTGTATGATAAAGAGACGTTTCCTAGTGATCCATACACAGAAGGTAGGTTACAATTTTGTACTATAGTGAGATGCAGAATTTGACTCCTGCTATCCACTTCATTTCTAAATTTCAAAAATTTTGATTCTTATGATGAGTCTGAAAATAGGACTCTGTCGCAAAGTCTAATATCAAAATAAGCACAAGTTAACTCCTAATTTCGACTGCATACTGCTCGTGAGAATGGCAGAGATGTCCAAATCTTACAATTTGTTTGAAACTTGAAATTGGACAGTATCTCTTGCATCAAATTTTTTGACTCGATTAGGGAAATGATACGGAATTATACATACGGTAGTACATACATTGACATATTTTAATCAATCTATATTTGAATTACCGAAAAAAATTCCTGAATCTATGATTTAGTCATGACATGTGGAGAGAGAAATTCAAATATGCTTTTTTTAATCTTTGACTAAACAGTATTTCCTAATTCATCAGTAGACGTAGATGGCAATGATGATATAGATGATGTACCAGCCAGAGGCAGAAGACCAATATTTGAGTGTTTTTGGAACGGTCGGCTGATACCTTACACATTTATCGATGAGTAGGTAGTAGGATGTATATAGATAGGTAATTCATTACGAAACCCATCATGGTATGAATATATAAATTCAATTAGTGTTTACGCAAGGACAATTACTACATGGGAAATCTCATCTCGTGAGTCAAAAAAACATGTTATTCTTTATTCTTGCTTTAATCCTGTAATAATATGCATCTCGAATGAGCTTTAGAATCTAGGTAGATGGCTAGTTTTTTTCTATAATAATATTTTTTCCCATGGATTTTATTTTGTGAAGTTTGTTCAATTGTTACAAAACTTGTATTTTGTTTATGAAAAATTATTTTTCAAACTCGATATCTTAATTCATTTTTTAGTTTTGACTGGTGCAGACTTCCAAAGAAACGTGGAAATATTCCAAATGATTGCTTTTACAGAATATCTGGTTGCCTTTTTACAAATGACAAATTTAAGGTGATTTTATCAAAAGTTGAAATAAACATGTCTGATCTGACTCGTACGAAACGTTGCAGAAATATAATATTCAAATGAGTGTGCAGCAAGACTCTTGACTCATATTGAATAGTCATCTTTGTTTGTGCTTATTTATGCTATGTGCAGTGCGGATCTACCAGTAAAATAGCATAGAACTACTTTATTTATTTAATCTTTAACAGATCTTTTGCTAGTGTTATGCACAAGTCGCACTCCCATTTTTGTATAGCTTAAGTATTTTTTTATGTGTTCATGAATAAGTATTATAGTAAAATATTAAAAAACTAAATGGGTTTAAATACTACAACTAATACAAAGCTAAATTTATCCCGGTTTGGAACATTGGCATAGAGGAAAAAAATGTAGTCTCTTAACTCCCAACTGCATTATTTGTCTGAATAAAAATGAATGTTCAAGAGTATTTTTCCATGTGCTCGTTCTGTAAAGTTTGTAAGCACTCAGAAATTCCTAATTGAATATTTTGAAGTATTTAATATTATGAATTATTTCAAAACATTTTTACCTTTGCTCTGTTCTACAGGTTTCTACAAACAAACTTACTTTTATTGATTTGGAAGGAAAACTTCGGGATCGTTCAACAGTTTTCTCAAGAGTTATTCTCGGGCAAGAACAAAGAGCACAGATTCATAGACAATTTATGGAATGGCTAAAAGAATGTCATGAGAAACATGATAAACAGGTCAGATCATTGCAATAAATTTCTAGTTCTGATTCTTTGATGCATTTAGGCAATAAGTATTTATCTACAGGTATGTTATGACCTATTCTCAATTTTGCTGTTATGCGCCGTTGCATATTTGATAGAATTCTCTCGTATGTTTGACATTGAGGGGAACCCAATGATGTTGCCCTAACGCCTGTCAGTTCTCTTTTTTCCATCTTGCGACTGAGGGCTACATGACTGAATAACTAATTTCATTGCATTTATTGTATAGATCAAGTTTCTAAATTTCGTTGAAACGTCAACACGTTATGATACTAGTGGAAGAAAAAATAGTCAACTGCAGCACTCTGTATACACTACTATTGAATGGGATGGCAAATCATTCAAGCAAGGGCAGTTGGTGAGTAAAACAAACATATCAATATACGGTAATACACATACATTTCTCCGTAGGAAATTTCCATCAATGGAAAATTTCCTCATTCAGGAATTTTCCACTTTGGAAAAATTCATTCCTACCCTCAACATCCATTGAATATTTGATACTTAAAATAGACTTGTTTCAGAATATTCTAGATGAATTTTTTTAGACTTAGTATGATATAGGCAGGTATTTCACATGGTTCGATATGTAATGTAAAAAAAACTGCAATTTTGTTGACTGATTGTATGTAGACTGATCCTTTGGGCTTGACTTGAAATACAGACACAAATATATCACAATAAGCTAAATATTTGGCTTGTGTATCAAAACATCAGATTTAATTTATTTAGTTTGTGCTTTGCAAGTTTGATGTTTTAAAGTCTGTAAATTTTTTGTCAGGTACGGACACATCGCACAACACCAATCATCTCTGGTCGAATCAAACAATTTATTTTGAGTGGAACTTATGAAGGTGATGTTTATGCAGTTGGTGGTGAAGTAGAAATACAGCAGGTTTGTATGTCTTCCCGAACTCTCATTTCTACCATACTGGAAAAAAAGCTTTTTTTATGTTATACTTATTTGACTGCATAATTTTGTATTTCTGCTTAGTTTACCTAAACCTATATAATTTTAATATAAAAAGTAATTGGCAACACTTAATGATGTAATGTAACGTTGGATTTAACCATGTTGGCACGACAAGTAACAGATTTCAGAACAGATGTAATACATTTTGTAGGCAAAGCTGAAACAAAAAAATCCCAGCCTGTTCAAAAATAGTAACTTTTTGCATATCATTAGCTGAAAGCTTGGAGACATGTCATACAATAAATTGTGATATAAAACATAACACAAGAGTTAGAAGAGTAGCTACACTCAGAATGAAGTAATGTAAAAGATGTATAAAATATATTAAATATGGTCCACTCAGTACAGTACATAGATCAGAGTGGTACAAACCCAGGCCACAGGATCATTATCTGGCAACCTCGGACCACCCTGATATAGATAGTGTAATTTTTGAAAAAGTTTTCCTCCTTGCAAGAGATTTTTATTACCGGTAGGTAAGATTTAAAATATGTTTGAAAGCTTTCAGTAGCCATTTTTTCTGTGGTGAAGTTGTAGTGTTGACACCAAGTATTTTGGAAAAAATATTTCCATTAAATAATATAAATCAGAACTAATAAAGAGATTTCTTTACTTTACTAATTTGTTTGTTTTGTATTTAGGAACCCTTTGCACTGTACAATGAAATTCGAAGATTTCCGCTTTCGAAATTAGATCGAGAAGTATCAAGCGCCACTGTTGCTCACTTGATTAATGAGGAAGAAGGGAAATTACCAGAACACCTTCATCTAACATGGCCAGAGGGAAATGAAATTGTAGATGGTGAATCTCGACAGTCTGGTGTCACAATTGGTGAGTTGAATGATGAACTTGTTCATACAATAATGCAGCATTTTTCTAACTTTTTTGCCCCGAACACCTACGCTTTTTATCTGGCCTTGCGGAACACTAAGAAATTAGAAAGTAAAATTGATAATGAAAAAATTGTGTTATGGGTCAACTTGCACAAACGGCTTATCATGACATCTTTTGAGGCTTCCAGTTTTAAGCCAACATTTCATTGAGAAGGTTGGTTTCCAAAAAATTTAGCCTATGGTAAAAGTTTCTGTAAACTTGGCCGGCCGGCAGTCAATGATATTGGTTGAATTGGTTGACGAAAACGCCATGATTTCCAGACTGGCACAAAGCCTGTCTGCCTGTTTAGATAGCAAGGTTTGCCCGCCTGTTTGTTATGATAAATGATGGTATAGTGGTATCAGGTGCTTCAGACAAAATAACAGCATTCGTGGGTCTGCATGGGACTCCTGCGTTTGGGAACTGTTGTTTGCGGGCCAGCCAGGAATTTAATGATAAATAAAAGCACGCAAATATTGACAAACATATATTAATTTATGAATAGTTGATGATAATAAAATTATAATTGATATACCGTTATTGTAATTTATACTGTAGTTCATCAATATAGATATATTTGGCACCAAAAAGCCCACCAGCAGCACTTTGTCTGCTTTTGTATGTCCACTGGATATCTGATTGAAGCAAATGAATGCAATTGTGTTTTTCTGATTATAGCAGATCCAGTAAGAAATATTTGCATCCCCAAAAATGCAAGTTTTCCCAGCACACATAATATGATATATTATACTAATATGAACTAAGTCGCAAATTAGTTCTTCGTCTCAAATTATTCATGTCAGATGTGAGTGAGCAACTGCAAGCAATATTAATTGAAAAATATTTACAATTATTCACAGGTGCAATGCGAATTGAAATTCGTAACAGACGCAAAGAATCAATACAAAAATTACCATCAAATGCTGGTAGTCGTAAACTTTTATTAGAACAACGATTATTATATGAAACAAATGATGGAGGAAAAATTCGTGAGATTACAAGCCATGTTACAACACATGCTAAAACATGGCCATACTGGTTCAAGAAAATGGGTGAGTTTTATTGTTTTTTGCACTAAATTGTTTGAAATCTTCATCGAGAGACATAACCTATGTATAGTTTAGTTGCAGTAATCAAGAACGACCCTGAAAAACTGGATAGATTAAGCTTAAAATTATCTGCCAGTATCATATGATGGGAGCTTCTTGAAAAGTAGTACAAAATGGTGTTTTGGAAGATTTTAGGATTAAATTTGAACCAGTTTTTATGCACCAACTGGCTAAACGACTCTCCAAATGAGCACTGATATCTTTGCAATGGCACATGGAGAATGAGGAGAATTTTTCTGAGATCTGGGTTTGGAATATATTTATTGTGATGCACCCACCGTATCATAATATCCGAACCATATTGTTTTGCTTTAGAAAACATAAAAGCATTGGGAACTTACACGATTCAGCTACGAACAATGTTAAATGAAAGTGGTGTTTACACGTATGCAGACGGCTGTATTTTGCCTCAAAAAGAATTGAAATTTATAATAAGAGAGGCTCCCCCAAGCAGGTTCGATTGCATGAATGTCAAATTAACAGTTTTAAATGTCATATCAATGACATGCTTTTCTTGTTTCTCTTTGATATATTTGAATTACATGCACCATATATATATTTATAACTTTTGTTCAAAAACATTGTTATGGCAATAAACTATACAATATCTGACATGGGCTGGTAACTGGTCAAGAGGCTGTTGTTAGTCATATGATTAAGTCATCTGTCGGCTTACTCTCGACCAACATAAATGTATAAATCATATCCTATCATTCAAAATTTGATAACTTTATTAGTTGGTATTTTGATTTTGTGGATAATAAAATCTTTGAATTGCTCAATTTAAATAACTCTACTTTTAACATTAACTATGGCTTGATGACTTGAAAATGACTTGAAGTGATACTCTTTCACTCAAGTTTAAACTGATAAAAATGGAAATTAGATTTGACTTGTTCTCAGTAGTCGATGACTTGACTTTAATCCCGTCTTCATTCCTTGAAAGAATGCACAACAATATTGTTATATTTAATGATAAAATAATGAAACTGCTATGAAATTGCAGATTTCTTGTCGGAATGTTGGAGTCTCCACTCAGAATAGGAGAACCGTTTGATATTCCTTTAGAACTTCAAGATGAACACGGACATCCGACAGCTGCATCAGATGAATTTAAACCAGTTCTTAATTCTGAGTATGTTTTATTTGTTATCAACTTCTGCTAGCTGGACATGACACAGTTATTCAACATTAATTGCTCTAAACATCCAACTGTATTTTGTATTATACAATTTGTTTACAATGCAGAATGAATTTCAACTATTTATATAATAAATGATTTCCTCCAAAAATTTTGGAATGATTATTTTTATTTTCATAATAAATGTTCTTACATAATACATGCTTTTCATAAAAATTATCACACAATATTTTTGCCAGGTTAGCCATTGTGAAGCATTACTAAAATCAATCACAGATAATGTAGTTTGTGCCAAAGGGCAATGATTATTGACATATATACGTACTTATGATTTATATTTTAGTAAGATTGCGTGATAGCTTATACTTCTGGTTTTGAAACATACAGCATTTACTTTTGAAACTACTTTACAGGGGTCTTCAGTTGTCATATGCAGACATTGGGTCAAGACAAAATACACTTATTATCAAAGGTGTTGTAGCAATCGGTACTGTAAACTCACAACATGGAAAAGTAATTGATTTGCCTATATTTTTTAATTTTTTTGTTATGGTTTAGTTTGTGAATTGTTTAAGAATTTTATTGTACTTTCGAATTATCTATTTATTCCAGATTTGTCTGCAATTGAAAAAAGGGAACTAGAAATAGGTTTCACCACAAAAGTTGTCTTTATTTAGGCAGTAGGTAAAATTGAAGTTTGGGCCATATTCAACATTTAATCATCCATCCACACAAAAGATTTGCTTTCTTGTTCTTAGAGAGAATCATTGATTATTTGTTTTCAGAATTTTATTATGACTGTCATTCTGCCCACAATGAAGAGAGAATTGCAGTCAATGAAAGTTCGATTGTTACCTGGTCAACCACATGCTTTGCTTATTGATGATAGAAATGATGACAAAGATGTTGACGATGGTGAGAATTGTTTTCAATATATATTGCATGAAGGGATCCAAAAAAATATCAAATACATTCAAAGTTGGTTTTATTCGATATAGCTATTTCTGTATTTTGGAAATAATTTGAATAGCTTTCTGAAGTGTTCAGCATTTTTCCATCAGACAGCAAGGAAATTTAATTTTCCTCTGAAAATGTGAAAAGCGGGTAATCAAAACAGACTTTATTTGTATCAAACGTTCTTCATTTCCCAACTTAATTTCTATGATTTTATGATGATTCATGTAAAATCCTCCATTGAACATGACTCTGAATAGATTCGGAATACTGAGTTCTTCGGTTTTGGCCATGCATGGTAATGTATTTTTTCTCTAAGAATTGAGCAAAAATAAAAGTACTCCCGTAGTATGAGTACCAGGTTAGGGTAAGGCCATTGTTTTTATTCTGTTTTTCCTTATTTTAATTCTATTACGAGTTCGGGGACTGTTTGTGTTCGCCAAATGAATATATCCCCTGCCCATAGGCTTCCGTCCCTCTACACAACTTGATGTAAAGTAGGCGAACAAAATTAGTTGCCTCCATATTGGTACACAAACTTCTGGAGCACCAAAATAAATTTCTATTTTAATTATATGGAATAAATTAGCCTTATGATTCAACCTAGCCAAACTGAACTGTTTTTACATTTACTAGTCAATACAAAATTAGTTTACTTTTACAGATTCAGATGAAATAAAATGCTTTGATATTGAAAATCTTTCCAGCATTTCTCTTCGAGTGCACGTCGTTGATGTTGCCGGAAATGTAACTCTGGGACAAAAGTTGATCGTACAGGCCAAGGTATCTGTTGTGCATTGTTGTATCACAACCCAATGTATTAAATGTATAATTTTTCTTGTATAACTGTCTCAGTTTTTGGTTGGCGCAAGTTAAGACCTTGGGTTTGAAGATCATGTCATTATCGAAGCGGAAGGTCTTCCATAAATACATATCAGTGTCTACTTTGGAGTTAATATGTGAAATACCATAAAAAAAATATTAGGTTGAATTCCAAGTATACATGTATTATAATGAACTGTGTGTAAGAATTGATACTATGTAATGTCATAATATATTTGATGTTGTTATTGCATACAGTAAATTTATCTACTTGGGTCTTTATTAAACTGTTATACCTCACTGAGACTGTTTATAGCAACAATTTTCAACTTTCAAGAGTAACAGCATTTGAATATTAAGTTTGCCTTTTATTGCCTGGAAATTCGGCTCATATTATGTTTTGTGTTCCATTCTAAGAAAAATTCGCCCATGGTGTTGCTCATCGTGCTAAGTGTTAAGAATACGCTTGTTACGGCACCTCTGATTACTCTGCGTGGGTTCACAGGTTTGAATCCCATGCGGGGATGGTTATGTGCGAGAGGATTGCTGGACTCCTCGCCACTGTGGGTGGGTTCACATAATGCTGGTCGGTTACGGCTTCCTCAACAATCAAGTCCATGCTTCTTAAAACAAATAACTAACCAATCCCATACCCGACATAAAATGGTAACCGGACGAGAGGCCGTGGTTCGCCATATGGTTAAGCCGTTTTATTGGCTTTCCTCTCCCCCGGATAAATATGTAAATCCTATCCTAAGTGAATTGCATCTTCGACATGGTTCCATATCAAATCAGGTTTGATCCTACAGTTCAATGTAAGAGAATAATGATTTATATATTTTCTGGGATCCATGTAATTCTGGTTCCAATCTGAATTATTTATACAATTGTACACCCAGCGTGATATTTAATGTTAGATTCGATTGTGTGTAAATATTTTTTTCCCGACCTATGAACTGTCTTTGTTCCCTAGAAAGGATTTTTTAAGGATTTTATTTAAGCTGATATTGATTAGATGCATTATAATATATTTCTACTATTTTCCAGTTTCCTTCAAATTCTGGTGTTCCTGCACTTACATGTGATTGTTCAGAAAGTGGGCGAGGAACTTTATCGGGTCGAATTGCAATGAAGAAATTGAAAAAAGAAAAGAAATCGATAAAAGTTAAGATCGAGGTAGTCGGAAATAAAGATGTGAGATGAAGTCTTCATTTGTTTCAAATATTTTGGCGTTTGTAACTGTGCATGGTTTGTCCTATGCTAAAGGCATTATCATATCTTTTACCACTGCGATTTATTGTTATGCTATTGATCACGGGTGGTCCAACACGTCGATCGCGATCTACTGCTTGAGACATGGCGATCGACCGGTTTGATGCTGAGTGAATTTTATTAAAATACCTTCAAAAATTGCCTCGAACCAGTTGTGTGTTTACAACAGGAAGAATACAGTACCTAACATGCACAAAATACAATATACACATACGGTATTCGAGTCTGGGCAAGCCCAATAAAGCATATTATTACGTAACAAATGCAAGTTTTGCCGCTGTCAAGGTTTAAAAATGAAGTGCCGAATATTGCGTGTCTAGACTGACAAACGATTTTACAATAACTTCCGCAGTATGCGAAAGTTATTGTCTCACTCCAAGAGTAGTGTGATCAATTTCATTCGCAATGGTAGCTGTGGCATCAAAACGCCCATCATCTTCTAATTCTAAGCAAGCAAAGAATCGCGTTTGGAGGAAATAATTGTAAATTAGATACTGAAGTTTGAGCAATCATGTAACATTCATGGTTTGAGAATGTTTATTTTTCGCTATTCAGACATTACATGAATACTTGGCAAGGTTTCTTGATAAATTTTCAACACTAAAAGGACTAAAAACTAGGCAGACCACATATCTGAATTGTATGATTTGAATAGATCTTAAATAAATGATGAAACATTCACTCCGGGTACAATTAAATACTCAAATTAACTACTTGAATGGAACAATAAAATACAAATTTTGTGTCAATTTTATTAAAAATGCGGCCACAAAGTTGAGTTTATTGGCAGTGGTGAAATTTTTCATATGTGTGTGTGCAGTTATCTGCGTATTCAGTATCCATTCGTTTTTGTGTATGACCTTATTACCGGTCAGTCGATCACAAGCTATTTTGAAGATTTTAGTTAATCGCGGTCAAAAGCAGGTTGACCTCCCCTGCTATAGATCAATGTTTACACGTATTTTTAATTTGACAACCTTGGGCGTATTTGACACAACCATACTTTAGTATCAATTTGAGGTCATATAACATTTGACCGTGCTCCTATGCTGGTTCTTACAATTATCGAGTATATCTTCATATACCGACAGTACAATGTATGTCATTTGGTAAATTCTTTTATCATTTGGCTTGAATTTTACTGACATTGATGTGGCTATATTAGTTATTTGATGACTCTGTATCCATATTATTGTGCATTGTTTTCTTTATTATGCGTGAGAAGATTTTATTTGTCTTTCAGATAAAACCTTGTTTTTGTCAATTCAATGTATCACCTTCTACGAATGTCAAAGTGATTGAAGTTTTTTATACAGATCCATATTCGGATGATTCAGATTTAATCAAGCTTAAAATGGGTATTGTTGTGTTTATTACTTTATTATAACCAGACTATTCAACAAACATTCAATATGAAAAACTATGAATAAAAAACAATTTATTTAGGCTAGCTCAGGGTGGTCCAACCCCAGGCCCGCGGGCCACATGTGGCCCGCCGCGGCATTATATGCGGCCCGCGACGCATTTGTGCGAAGGTTAACAAAAAAATCGCATTTGGAGTTGTTTCATCATGAAAATAACCAAAACTATTTTGATGTCACTGAATTGAGTAGTGTTTTGGCTAGCTGAAGCAACTAGCGAAGTTTATTTATGTGCTTGGGAGTCTAAATTGTTATCTGGCTTTCCAATTTTTTGATCGGGAAGATATGCTAACAAAATAGGCTTCATAGAGAACTAAAAAATCGAATGAGGAATCTATTAGCCTAGGTTGGCTACGCATGTTAACTGAATATAATTCCTGCCGGATCTTTTTTTGCAACCAGACTAATTTTCACTCTTGCTATAGCATCCTTGCGTTATTCGCATACGGATCCACCTGCGCAAAGGCATACGGCAAGGAAAGGTAGTAAGTTTCACGTAACCCCAACTGTTAGTTAGACTAAACAGTACTAAAAAAATTTAGTAATTATCCTCATGTATCCCAAATTTGGTAAAATTCGGTAATCAATCAATCTGCAGTTATTTGTAAGTTTTTTTTAAACATGAGTTTGAAAAGAAAGCTGACCAATTCAAACAGATTTTTGACTGGATATGGGATATCATACCATAATGCTTGCTTAATATATATGTCTGCAAGTTATGTCGGTGACAATCCAAAACGGCATTTTCTTCATTATGAAAAATTTGAAATCTCACTAAGTGTAAATATAGTAAGATTTTTGCACGTTTTAATGAGTTTTTGGTGGTTTTTGCACGTTTTAGCTTGATAAATGACAAATAATGATCGATGTGTTTGGACAATAGAAGTGTTTGTTTTGTATTGCACTGTTTACCCATTCTAGGCACTATTGTGGCCCGCGAACAATACAAAAATAATAATGTTGCCCGCTAGGCCGACAACCTTAGACCACCCTGGGCTAGCTAGTCCAACAGCTAGGCTAACGCTTATATAATAATAGGAAGCACAATGTAACAATCGGGGTCATAATGACGTTACTTTCATCAATTTTTCAATGGAAATTTATATCCAGAAAAAGTATAGTCGTCATTAGGGCTGTCCAAAATCGAATAATTTTTTGATTCGAATCGAATATTTTCGCCGAATCGAATAATCGGATATTATTGCGCAATATTAAATCTGTCTCTATTATACAATAAACGCCTGTCATTCGATGTTGCGGTAACGTATGTGCAGTTACATCTTACTTACTGCTGGTATTTTGCAATACAAAGTTTCCAGATTTATGAAAGGAGATCACACGCTTGTATGAACTTGTCAAAAAAATTGGAGAACTCCAAAACTGTTGAGTGTTAAGAGTAAAAATTGCACTATTCAAAAATTGCAATCTTAATTTTGATGGATTCAGTTTCAATAGGACATGTAAAGCCTGTAGATGCTATTTTAATCCTATTCATTGTGTAAATTTCAGCAAAATAATAACAACCATCTATATAGATAAAACTGTTGCTCAAGTTCAAAATTGCATTTAAAAATTCCAAGCTAGTTTGATGACAATATTATTTGATGACTATAATATTGTTAGTGTACAACAGCCATCAAAATGCAAGAGTGCAATTATTTGTCTTGGTATGTAGATGGATAATACAGTAATGCCATCATAAGAAATTACAAATTCCATTCAAAGAAGGTATTGCCATCATAAGGATCCCAAAACTCCTGTTTCAGCTTTGAGTTGCCTGTACCATGTTCCTATGATAACTACCGTAACTCACTCAACAGCTTCAAATCGATTCTATTTATAGAACTATCGTTTTCTAAATTGTCTCCTTTTTCTCCTTGTTCTCTCTCAAAAACGTCATGACCGATTATACCTTGTCATGATGACCATGCATGAAATGGCTAATCACGTGCCACCGGGCGGGCATTAGTAATGACATGTTTATCACAAAATGAAGGCGAGAGAAATATCGGGAAACCAATTAGGCCGGGAGCGAGAGTGGTCTGAGCTCGGAGCGCCGCCGCTTGCCCGATGAAAAACATCCCGTAAAGGTGGTTTCCCCTTTATGTACTGGTACCTAATTTTAGCGATTCGAAAATTAGCCGAAAAACGATTCGAATAATTTGGTTCGCTTGGATATCCCTAGTCGTCATTTCAGCAGACACAAGTGGGCCGGATGAAATACTTGAGTGGGCCAGATTCGTTCAGCAGGCCGTAATTTGCCCACCCCTGTTATTGTAAAAAATTGCTTTCATTCATAATTAAGGAACCAATCCGTTTCAAATTTGCACCTGTTTAAAATGGGAGAAGTCGCTAGAAGGCCTGTTCTCCCTTTTTCTCTTTATTTTACAATTTTTTTGTTTTTTGTTTTTCAATAATCACAAGCACACCTTTATATTAAGTACAATCCTATCTTAGTTTGAATTTTGAACTTTGAATCCAAAGTTGGGATGGGATTGTACTTACTATGTAGATGTGCTTGAGAGTTATAGAAAAACAGCAAACTCTATTATTTTTAAGGTTCCGATATTTACTGGCAAGCTGGAGAAATAATGTCCGACATGAGTTTTCGACTACTGGATGAAGCAAGACGAGAGGTTGTTCTGAACAAAAACGTTTGTTCTGGAATCAGGGTATTTCCTAATTAATAAATTCTTTATCATAAAACTCCTAACATGTACGATAGATAACAACGTTTCATGGACTCAGATGTTCGATAAACATACTTGAAATGTCAGTTTTTTTGTTCATTTTTACTTCTATATGTACAGTGAAATTTTCATGGATTTTTATGTTGGAAATGTTAAGTACTGATTACTGACGTTATCAGGTCAACTGGACAAATCATGTATCATCAGAAGATTTATGTTCTGGAAAGCTACCTGATATAACTATTCCTACAAATGTCAGGGATACGAAATATTGCGAAATCATTTATGCTGGACAGAAAAATATTGATTTTTCATTCAATATAAAGTATGTATTGCCTAAAAGTTGTTTTATTTCAACATTTCCAACCTAGAATGGCCGATATTGGATAGTCTACTGTATTGAATAGATCATAAAATAATTTTACGAAGTTCATTTAAAAAAGAATCATATAATATACAAAAATCTGCATTATTAAAATATAGCTTTATCCAATACAATAATTTTCAAATATCGATTAGTAAAGTCTCAAATATTATTCAACGCAATAATTTTTTTACTCTCCATTTTGACAGGATTTGTGTCTTATTTATTTTGAGAGCTGATATAAATTCTCTATTCTTTCAAATATATGTATCACAGAATAATTTGCTATATATCCATTCGTTTCTGCAAACTGATTTTAATGTGAAATACAAACATACAATAAAATTTCATATTTATTTATTCAAACTAAATATTTTTGCATGTCCTTTAACTAGCAAGTTTTATCCAACAAATTTTTTACTTCTAGGCCAATTGCAGGCGAACCAGCTGCTATAAAGTGCACAGTGGTCGGATCTCGTGATATTCAACTTGGAATTACGAAAAATGATCCTATTACTGTGTCACTGTTGGACAGTCATGGCAACAAACTTAACGTCAGAGAAAGTCAGTTAGATCTTGTTCGAGTATCTGCAGAAGGGCTGGATGAAACGCTGATTGAGAAGAATATAGAGGTGCGTTTTTAAGTGTTTTGCGTTCTGATTTGAACAAAAATCTGATCAAATGGTTGTTTAATAGTTTGTTTGATAGTTTTATTGTGTTGACTTTTTAGTTTTTTTTTTGTTCTTAATTAAGGTAGTAGGACTGCCATAATTCTATATAATTTCAATAGCTGATGTCACTGCAGTCAATTGTTTTCTGTAACTTTGCCCAGAGATCATTTTTGACTTCTGAGTAACCTTGTTTTTTGAAATAAAAAAGAGGAAGACCCAATTTTGCATTGCCAAAATATTGTCAATGCAGCTTGTATGCAAATTCATGCGTGCTAAATTTGATTTAAAACACTGTTGTTGCATGGCTGAAGAGATTTGAAATTCAAGAGAATATTTGTAGATATTGGAATACTGAACTTATATTTCAATGTACAGACTTCCTGTAGTAGGGATTAGATAATGTGATTGAAACTTTTTCAGAACAACACTGTCCACCTGAACAATATTCAATTCAATCAAGGACCACTTGGTAGTCGAGAAATATGTGTTATGTATGGGCATAGTGAACCAATAACAGAATATGTACTTCTACAAATAATTGCTGGAACTCCTGTCATGATTGATATTTCTGGCTGGTCTGATTTCTCGAAGGTAAAATGTTTTATTCTTAGCATTAGCAAATCAACCCTTCTGCCTAGGTTTCACTGCTTATCCTGCCTGATTTTGCATGTAGGAATCCTGTGAAAAATTCATATATGTCAGAGGATTTCTGTACCATGTGCCGCCACAGTATACTTCATGTTATTCTCTTGCCAGTTACAGTTTCCTCTAATACCAAGTTAATGCATCAGAACTGAATAGCTGATTAACTATTCTCGTATGCAACATGAACTGGCAACATAACGAGATATTTATTGGTGTAAATTAATGTTTTATTGAACATATGCGATACTTAACATAAACAGTTCAGTTGTCACCACAAAAAGCAGAATATAAAGTCAGACATATGACACATGTTGCATGTGCTATACCGAAGTGCTGAATGACTTCTGGAGACCAGCATGGCAGTATTTATACCCAGGAAGCATGCTTCAGTGGTTTTAACCACTAGTTTAACCACACAGTTGAACTATGTATGTCTGAAGAAGTCTGACCTTGGTCAGATGAAACGTTACAGAAATATATTTGTGTTAGTGTGCAGCAAGACTCTTGAATCACTTAGGATTGTTATCTCTACTCTTGCTACAGCATCCTTGCAATATATGCATACGGATCCACCGGCACAAAAGCATAGAAGAAGGATAAGTAGTTAGTCTCGCAGAAACCAAATAATCAGCACAAGATGACACGAGAGACTGTGGTTTGCCTTATGTCTGAGCTGTCAGTTCTTATCCCACCATATCCATTGTATGCTATAATTGAATGGCAGCCCCCTTTGCCATGTTCATATGTGCCACAGAAGGGATACAGTTATGTGAAAAAAAATGCAGGCAATACTTAAAAAGTTCGTATGTGATGTGGCACAGGTCAACTTGATTTTGAATAATTGCAGCGAATTTTGTTAGTCCAAAAAAAAAAATATTTAAATCATTCAGAATTTCGATCTCAGGGAAATGTGTATTACGTTGATATTTCACAATGCATAGATTCTGATATATAGATTTTGCATGGTTTCTAATTTCACGTTGCGATTTATATCAAAATTCTTCTCCTATAGCCTGTAGCTGTGCTAAGTGGAACTCGTATCCAGGAAGAAATTAAAGTACAACTCCTCGATGGATGGGGTAATGCAGCTCGACAAAAAGGTGTCAAAGTTCTGCTTGGCAAAGATTCTGCTGTCAAACTGACTCCTAATCCAGGGATGTTGTTAACTGATAAAGATGGAGTTGCTGTGTTTAAAAAGTTTTCTGTTTCTGGAAAAAGGTGATATAATTGTGGAATTTAATTTGAAAGATCTGAACAAGGTGCTAAAATAGTATCACTCACTAAGAATTTTGCAAACACAATGCACAATATTACTCTAGTCATCACCACGAGTAGATATTCAAATTACAAATGCATTTGATGAAGGAAATTTTAGACAAGAGATTCTCAACCATTCTCCTGTCAAGTTTTAAAACGATTATCCTGCTGTAAGATATTTAAGTGGTACTATATTAATCACCATATTTAAGTGGTACTATTTAAGTGGTACTATATTAATTAAGAGTTTACAATTTTAAATGATATTGTGAAATATATTATTAGAACATTTGATTCGAACTCGTTATCGTAAACATTAGTGTGAAGGATGTGCCTGTTTGTTGTAATTTATTTTTTCTATTTGCTGAATAGTATTAGATATGATACACGTGTACTCTACAATAAAAAAATTGACATTACATTAAAATTCAACTGCCATTCAAGTACACACATAAATATTCCTGCCATGAGTGATGAACTCTAAGCTTATTCTTAGTCTTCACCCTGATCAGATTTGGAACAAACATGTCCAATAGTATTTATATACTCTTTTCAAGTGTTTTGCTAATTGTTCTGTTCTTTCATTGTTTTTTTCCAGAGGAGAATATAATTTACAGCCACGTGTTGTTGTGAACAGAACTTCAATAGAGGGACCTAAATTGAAGATTAGTATTTTACCAAACACTGAAACACCGACATGTATTAAAGTATTTTATGATCAATCAATAAAGTCAGTTGTTACTGGAACAACATGGCCAGGTTTGTAGTGAATATGATATTGAAAAATCAGACTAATGAAATTTGATCATAGAAATATCGATGAATTGATGAATTTTAATTCATTATGAAAGTTTATTTTTTGCCATTCTGTGCGCTTCACTTGCTCAAAACAAAAATTTTTCAAATTAAACGTGAAATCAAAAACTTTAAATATTAGGTAAATTCAATAAAAGTAAGAGAATTGAATTTATACTTTATCGCCTTATTGAATCTTTCTAAATAGCGGTTAATAAACTAAATAAAAATTGAACAAAACATTATGTTTAGATTTTGAAGTTAACGTGCAATCAGAAGAAGGCATGCCTGTAACGTCAAGTGTCCACATATGCATGGCTGTATGGAAAGGAAAACCATTGAGAGATAAATCTGTGCCTTTATCGGTAATTAGTTTTATATTCATTATTAGTGTGTTGAAGATTTCTAGGATTGACGGTTCTAATCCGCGTGTTGCTCTAACCCAGCGTTATAAACAGTTTAGTTATTGTGCTCTGGAGACCCAATGCCCACAACACACATGGGTGTAAGGATTACGCATTTACGAGCCAAAAAAATTTTTGTTAATAAGAATGTTTAAATCCACCACTTTATTATGTATAGAGTTGACAAAAGTCAATACTAAAGCAAAATATTTCAAATTTTCATATTTAACCCAGGAGAGGAAAGTCGGTAAGATGGGTTAATTATATAGCGAACCACTGCTTTTTATTCGGTTACTGGTCCATGTCGAGTTTGTGAATAGTTGATCATTTATTCTTCCAGATAAGTGAACCATTAAAATGCAGAACGCAGTCTGACAGTTATGTTATCCAACATGCAATGGTGAGGGTCTCCTTGCAAGGAAGTTGGATCTGTGATACGAAGCCCTTTACTAAGTCGTGGCATTTGTTGAACATAATGTAAAATCCCTTGGAAATATTAGATCCTCTTGTTTTCTATTCTTTTCAGAGAAATATATTTTTGAAATTTAACAGGCGGAGTTTCATAGGATCAATGAACCATCACAAGGTGTCCAAAATTTCAACAGTTATCGAGCGCCGACTATTGCATCAAGCTACAGTATCTGTTTTTGTTTGTGTGACAGTCCCAACTCAAGAAATTTTCTGATGGTCAGCGAAATTATAAAGATTAATGTTGTACCTGGTTTGTATTTTGTTATTTTATTGAATTCGATTCTTAGTTTAAACCAGGGAGAAAGACTTATTGATTTCCTGTTTTTTTTCATCCGATCTTGGCCCAGTGATTTAACATTTGAGTACCCAAACCCTTTTGTTACAATGGACCTCTAAAATGATTTTGTTAAGCGTTGTGGACCCCTCTGAATAGTAATATATAACTTCTGAAATCATGATTCTCATGAAACCGCTTTAATGAGGGTTGATATAAAATATACTCTGTACTAATCGTGCATAATAATAAGAACCAACAGTGTCAAACGTGTCATTACAATTTATAAAAGGCAATCAGTTACATGTTGCTATTTTGTTTTCATGATGTGCATGCAAATTCATGAACCCCTGGTAGTCATTTATGAATCCTTAGAACCACTGTATTAGTTGTTTCTATGTTCAAGCCAAACAAGCGACAGTCAAAAGTACAAAATTTAGTTCACACCTATTAGCGTTTCCAGCAGTGTTTGGAAAGTTTGTATCTAACATTGCATTATTTGAATTTTAAGGTCCTCCTTATAGACTCCAGCATGAAGTTGATCCAGGAACACCCACAGTTTCTAACACAAAAGTGGCCAGAACGATTATCAGAAATCTTACGCTCGTGTTAGAAGACAAGTTTGGCAATAGCACAGGTCATGACGTCAATGGCCAGGTGACTGTCATCATTGAAACATCTGAACAAACTCTTAAATCGGCAGAGGTTCCGAAGTTTGATGGAAACTGTGCAAGACTGGAAATGCCAATGAAAAATGGAAAGATTGTGATGAACGTAAGTGGTTTTTAGTCAACTCAAATCCTAAACATATTTTAAGAATTGTGAGACTATTTCTTATTCAAGAAGCTTTCATTTTTTACCATGATGTTTCTAAGCAAAGACATACGGTAGTTTTCTTTTCTATGATTGCTTTACGTCACCAAAAAAACCACAAAGATATATATAGTGACATTTCCTGCACTCGTATAATGCTAATAACTAGACTTTACTGTTTTTTCTTATTACTGTATTGATTTTCAATTATATCGGGAAATTAGGAATTGCTTAATCTTCCGGGGTCAGGGCTCACAGTTTGGGAACCACTATGCTAAAGGATCTACCATTCTGCCCATAGAGTTAATTGAAATCATGCTATATTCTCACTTTTATGACTACCGTATTTGCTCGTTTTGTAGCCCGGGCCCATATTTTTTCAACCAACTCACTAAGCGGGCCCTTATTCAAACCGGCCCTTATTCAAGCACGGGCACTTGTTATTTTCGATCGTTACAATAATTAATATATTGTTATTTCCAGTTCTCAAGTATGATTTAAACGAGAATACCGAAAATTTTGACTTTTTCTACGCACCGCAGGTACAAATCCGCAAAAGAAGAGAAGTTTTACGACGCCCTATCAATATTGAAACGACGCACTTGGGCGTAGTGACGCCCAGTTTGAGAACCATGGTGTTACCTAATCAATGCTATCTGTTATGTTCTTGGACGCCTAAGGCGTGAGTGTTATCTACCGGCGCTTAAAATTCAACAGCGTTGTGACAAAAGCGCTTCTTATTTCCTACTGTCCTCTACCACTGGATAATCAGCTTTTACATCGGGCGGGTATTCAAGCATCGGCCCTTATTTATTTTTATGTTCTGTTCACACGGGCGGCTATTCAAACGGGCCCTTAATCAAGATCGGGCGGTAAAACGAGCATATACGGTGATTCTCAATACATCTGGTATGAACTAATAACATTTTATAATGTTGTTTCAGAATTTAACGTTGCAAGAAAATTCACCTGGAACAGATGGATCACAATATGTTCTTCATTGTGAATTGACATCTAAACAATTACCAGAGCAATTGCCACCATACATGCTCAAATTTTTCTTCTATAATGGTGATGGTTTTCTTCTTTAAAACTGTCTGTTAAAAACATGAAATTATATTTTTACAATATGGATCAATAGTAATACATATTTTTATGCATTGAGCCATATTGTGAAAATCTAATTTCATGTTTTTCTACAGATAGTTTTAAACAAACTCAAATGAGTGTACTTGCCAAGAAAAGAGATGTGTTAAAGAACGCAATCAATTCATATGAAAGTCTTTTTAATCTACATCACACTCTCTTGAATGAACTGAAGAAAACTTTTAAAGATGCCGATAATAAAAAGAAGCAGGTATGATAATTACGATTGAGTCATGGGGGGCATTTATCTCTTTTAATGTAACATTTTATAACATGTATGATTGTAACATGTATGACCAGTTTTCCGAAGACTTGAAAAGCTCGAATGAAGGCTTTAACCAGATTACTAATGGCAGTTTTTCAACATGACTTACCGGTACTTTTTCCAACCAGCTCAATTTGTTATATTTCAGACATTACACTCTGTAGATAACACATTTTGGTACTCCCATAGTATGTGTGCCAAGTTAGGGTTAGGCTATAATTTTATTCTGATTTTCCTTATTTTAGTTCTATTACAAGTTCGGGGACTGTCTGTGTTAGCCAAGTGAATATCCCCCATTTTACACAACTTGATGTAAAATAGGCAAACAAAATTAGTTACCTCTATATGTTTTACCTTTATGTTTTATCTCATAGCTGTTACGAGATTTGCAAAGAGCTAATATGAAGACAAAAGAGATTTCATCAACTGCTGATGTAGAATCCTTAATCAGAAAATTTTCTTGTGAACGTGATTTCATGTTAAATCAACCTCGACGGAAATGCTTGCTCAAGGAATATCCAGACAAAAGTACAGAGGTTTTGGGAAAAGTATGATTTTATGATGTTGTGTTGGTGATTGGATCAATTCTGTACAACCGGAATATGCAGATGAATTTGATGTAGTTTTTCATTGATTATTATATTCTGGGAAAGTTTTTAGTAATATAAAAATAAAATTTAGTCGAAAGGCGTTTTTGCCTAGAGAAACCACTAATTTTCCAATTTTAGTAATTTGTCTTTTGGAAATTTATTTGTGTTTATTTGTCTCATAAGTGATTAAGCAATCATGGAGTGATATATTAGGTTTGTAGAAATTATGGAATTTGAAAATGATCATTTTTTTTCATTTCTTCACAGATTTTCCTGGTTGGTTTCTGCTCATCATACCATTAAAATATCATAACTCTCGTCTCTCGTAACTAGTATTTTTTGTTTTAGATTGGACATCTGGCTCAAGTCTCAGATGATGCAATTGCATGTGTTTTGTCTTGGCATATGATGGGAGATATGGACTGTCTAGTTACATTTACGTCTAAGAAGGTAAACTGCACATATTATATTGCTCAAATACAAGCAGGTTATTGGACATAAAAGTGAGATTATTTGGATAGGATTTACATTTTCATCCCGGGGGCGAGGAAAACCGATAAGACGGCCTAACCATATGGCAAACCACGGCCTCTTGTCCGGTTATCATTTTATGTCGGGTATGGGATTAGTTATTTGTTTTCGGTAGCATGGATTTGATGGTGGAGGAAGTCGTAACCGACCAGCGGTTACGTGAACCACCCTATTTGTTTACTCTTACTTCTTGTAAGAGGCAATATATAAATGGAAGATAATGTTTCATGCATTAGACCAACTATTCTAAAAACTGTAGTTTTCTTCAATTGATTCATGCATTGATTTTTAAAAAATGCCTCTTCCATTATTTCAATTAAATGCAAAAAAATATGAATTTTCCAATAAAATGTCAGAGAAAACCACACAGGCTGTAGTGAATTGAACCTTTAAGTTGGTAATCTGTAGATTACAATGCAGAAATTGCATTTATTTTAAACTGTTAAAGTCAATTATAGTTTTTTGTCTTTATCTCTTTGGTTTTCGGTTTTACGATACAACCTACTTAGTAAATGTTCACTAATGTCGCAAGGCTAAACTACCCGTCAGATTAACATTAAAAAAATTCTCAGGCTCGAGAAGTGCACAAGGCAACGGGAGGTACCCAACAGCTGTTGCCTCTCGACAGTATTTATAAGAAAAATCTTCCGGATCCAAACAGACCTTTGCCTCATCTGAGGAGACCACCTTCTGCTGGTGGGTTTTCCAATGCAAAAGGAAACCCTGTCTATGCCAGAGACCTTCTCTACTTTCCAAAAGATCCAGATAATTGCAAGATAGGTATGTATTATAATCTACACAATTTGTTGTTTTGTATTAGTATTATTCATTATGTAACGTTGTGTAACCTTTGAACATGCTCTGTACTCAGACAAATGGACTGATATGAAATGAAATGACTGAAATTTCTCTTCATCATAGTTTAGCTGACTTCTTTTGCGCTTATTCTACATATCGCTGTTTGAGCTAGTGAGCCACTATCTGTCATTATAGCTATCATTTGGAATGAAGCAAACTTTAATTCATAGTCATGAAATGTTATTCATCACTGCTCTATTTGTCTCATGTATACCTTAGTATATTGTTAATTTAAAGGACATAACAGCATATACAGTAGAATTGAGTGGAGGTGGTGTATAGAATTCTTGTTTAGTTAAAATATCTTTGTTGCATTGTGCTTTTCTATGCAGTTTTTGGAATGTTACTTGGAGAAACGCTGATCATTGACGACTTGGATACAGCTAATGAATACAGAAACAAGGTAGTATAATGATAAATATTTTTTGAAAATAATTTAGTTTATTATTCTTATTTATTTGTTGCATTAAAATCATTGTAACCAGTTTACTGCATATATCATCGGAATGCCATCAGTTACTTACTTACAAAATAATTGAATTATGTAACAAAATTGCCTTCAAGGAATGCAGTGAAAATATGAATTATATATTGATAGCCGTAATTCACCTTATCATTCTGGTGCATGATTAACTTTCATGCAATAAAACTTTATATTATAATGTGACATGCTAATATATAGTTATATACACGTTTTCATTTTCATTGGTTTCCTCACTTAGCCTAGAGTTGTTAATTACAACTTGAGTAATTTTATCTGTGTTGGCTTTTAAATTAAATAAATTAATCAATTGACACAGCCTGATGTCAAAACAACTTTCATTGAAGGCTCCATTGACCTCATTTTCAATATGTCAATTTCTGACTTGTTTTTAAGCACAGCATATTTATTATCTTGTTAGGTTGTTAAATTCACCTACTGTCCAACTATTCTGACAAGAAATGGAGAACGAATCAGAAGCAATGGAAAGTTTGGTGGCAATCAAAATAAAGCAGTTAGCATTGATAGATTACGTGGAGCTGTATTTGGTGCAATGTTGCCTGAAGAATGCAGCGAAATCGAAAAACAGATCGGTGAGAATCTGTTTTTTTATTAGGAACTGCACAGAGGTATTTTATAACAAATTTGAAATCTTACCATAATGTTTCAATTAGAACTGTTGCGAAAGTATAAAGAAAGTCTCGATGAAACAGATACAGCATTCACCGAACTAAACAATCATGAATCATCATTACAAACTGATGAAATGATACAGAAAAAACATGAGCACAAGGAGGCAATAGAGAGACTGAAGGAAATTGAAAAAAAGATTGGTAATTACTCAAGGGTTCATTTGACCATTTTGACATGTTTTTTGATATGTTTTGACTCGTAGGTTCCATATTTGTATTGAAAAAAAAAATTTTCCTTTTCATCAACAAAACTAAATACGATGATGAAAATTGTAGAGTTCCAGTTAGTGACTTTATTTTTTGATTGTATGCAACATAATTTGTACACCATCACTTCCAAGAAATTTTCTCTTTTCCTTAAGGTCTCACTCGCAGTTCTGCCCCAAGACAAAAAATGGATTCTGGAACTCCAAGCAAAAGAAGACGACGTTGATTTTTACCTGCAATTTATCACTGTAAAAAAGTGCTGAAGGAAGCTTTTTACCTAATGGAATTTCATCACTTTTAGTTAGGTGCTTTCACCTGATGCTTTTATCACTTGTTCTAGATTTTTGTCTCACTTTTCAGGTACTCAATGGTTCACTTTCATCTATTTCTACTACTCAATATTATTGAATATTTATGCTGTCCAGCAGGATGGATTTTTGATAAAACCATTTGGTTTCGGGTCTGAATAATTTCCTATTTGCCCTCAATTAGCAAACATTACTATATTTGAATATTGAAATAAAGAAAAAAATGGTATTTTAATATTAAACAGTCAACATTCCTGCGACGAGTCGTTATACAACAATGCAGGCTGCATGCAGCATCCTTTTATTTTGTTACATGATAATACTTTTCTGCTTTTTAACTTTTTTTCAACCAAAGTCAACTTATTTTTTATGTTCCTTAGTCAACCGTTAGGTATGGTGGTGTATCTTAGATGGTTTTAAAGTATTTGTACTCTGGTGAAATGCGTTTTTACAATTTCCAAAATGTTTGGTGCTTATTTTATTTTTGTATACCATTCTTCTGTGTTTGTTTCATTTGTTATATTGAGTTATTAAACACTTTTAAACAAGTTTGTAGTACATTCTTCACGTCATCACTTGTCCATGGGCATCATGTGGAGCGTTAGGAATTGCATTCACAGACATTTTTTTATAAAGTCTAGTTTGTAGTTTTATCTAGATGATGACTAACTCAACCTGAACTTGCAAAAACAGATAGCAAACATTTACTTCGTGATATTACGCTTATTTCAAGTCTCAAGAATGATCAGCGAGCTATATACACGAATATGTCGGATTTAATTTTTACTTTGCTACTTTATAATCTGAATATTAAATGGGCGTTAAATACTGGTATTTAAATTACAGCTAGGTATGAAAGCGAACAAACTGGTGATAACTGGACGAATAGGTTGGTGTTAGCGGATAGATGGCAAAGTAAATTGGCGGGCAAATAGTGATGAGAACATGCGTTCATTTTTGCATGACATTACCAAATGAATAAATTTGACCTGAAAATATAACCTTTTTGGAGGGGAACACTACCAAATATCCCATCTCGATTCATTTTTATTCGGGCACCTGTTATGCAGGCCCGAAACTGTAAAGTATTATCTATTAGGTGAAATTCAGAGTTTCATATCACGAGATTGTATTCATTAAATTGCATATTGTATATAATCTTCGATTTCACAAAAATAAAAATCGTTGGAATTAAGAATTCACTTTTTGAGAACACTGTGTATGTTTGAAATAACTATTACAGAGTGGTCCAAACCCAGGCCCGCGGGCCAGTTGTGACTCGCAGCGTCATTATCTCTGGCCCGTGTCGTCTTTGCTGGAAGATATTTCGCATTTGGTGTTGTTTCGTCATAACAATAACAGAAAATCTTTTCGACATCTTGTTACATCACTAATGTCACTGAATTGACTAGTGTCACGGCTAGCTGAAGCAACTAGCGAAGTTGAATCGAGTGTGATTGGGTATAGTCTAAATTGTTCACTGGCTTTCTATCTATTTGGTTGCGAATATATCCCAACAGTTATAATATTTAGATGTGATAACTAAATATTAATGTTATGACCAGAGAATATAATTCGTTCCGGTGATGTTTTGCAGTCAGCCTAAACAACATTACAAAAAAAGCTTCTAATATTTCAGAAAAATTAGTAATTACTCTCCTGTACCTTACATTTGGTAAAATTTGATAATCAATCATTCAGCAGTTATCGCAAATATAATCTAAAACGGCATTTTGCTTTCATGTGAGCAATGAGCATTTCCAAATTTCGGAGGATTTTGCTTTGAGAACCCCATCGATGTTCGAGAACACTTACATTTGCGGGATCACTTTCTCCATTATGAAGAGTTGAAATCTTACATCAAATGTAGATATAGCGAAACTTTTGCATGTTTCAGTGATTTTTCGGGCGTATTTTGTATGATTTAGCTTAATAAATGACAGACAATGCTCAATCGTTTGCACGATAAAAGTGTTTGTTGTTTACATATTTCTGACGCTATTGTGGGCCGCGAACAATGCGAAAATAATTTGTGGCCTGCGACAAACTTGGACCACCCTGAACTATTATATTATTCGATTGCGACGAACAAGGATAGTGCTATAGTCGTTTGTCAAGTGTTACACTTAAATTTGCACACATGCATGCTACTGAATTTATTATTTAAAGAACAATAGATTTTAGACAGCAATATGGTAATAATAAGAAAGGACGCAAGCGTTACAAACAAAACGTGTTTATTTCACAACAGAGTTTCGTTTGGGAGATTTTGCTTTGATGTGACTTAACGTTCCTCGTTTTTTGGCACTTTGGAATTTCTTGTCTTTTGCTGTAGTCAACTGTGCCGGTTTTGACATTCTTTCAAGTCGTTCAGCTAAATCTGGATGATGCCTCTCAATGTTCTGTAACAATGCCTCATATCTGTTGGGTTCTTTTCCGGATAACGACTCTAGAAAATTAGAAGAAAGAGATATTATTTCAGATTTACGGGGCTGATCGCCCTATTGAGTGGTTGAGTCGGGACATTTATCCGAAATTTTCATAAATTCGCCGGATGAGAACAGAACATGCCCAAGTCACAATTTTGACTTTTGAGAAAAATGCAAAAAACAATTTGGAATTTTTTTTATTTTTTCTAGATATTCACACTTAGTAAAGTCCTGAGCTCTGGTTATTTTGATGTGGATGAGAATATTATTGAAATCAATATTTGTTGGCACTTCAGCTTCAATTCCTTCCTGCTTTTTTACCCCCTAAAAAGGATTTTGGCCCATTCTGTCCTCAACAACTTCTGTTTTGTATGGAATGCAAGGTAAAACAAGGTGACTTAGCCCTAAGTTGCACTGAACCAATTTTTAGGGATGTAAGTTTCGGACATTTCATTTGTGATGTTCATGCCCATCATATTGGAACTTAGGTCTATATTTTTTCAATATTTTAGGGTTTTGAGCTATGTGCTATGATATATATGTGTGTGATGACTAACATAACAAAGAAGAGTGATTGTTATTTGTACGATTTGATTACTTACTTATAATTCTTATCAAGACGTAATTTTTTCGTCCTTCTAAGAATTGACTTGCATATTCTGTTGAATTATCTGCATCAGAAATCATAGCAACATTTCCATTTTCGTCGACAAGATCGAGAATTTCTGAAAATTATGCAAATTTCAAATGACCAGATTAGCATATTTATTGAAAGTGACGAGATTTTATTAACATAAAATTGAAATTCAGAGGGTAAGCAATTCAAAAACTAAAATTTACTAATTTTCGACTGACAAATCTTTATTAAATACAAAATGTTAACGAACTACTGTATTTGGAGATTATATATATATATTAGTTCTTCAAGACAGTTTGTCATTAATACTAATGCTTCCCATCTTTCAAGTGTTATCTATACAGGGTGTCCATAAAGTCCTGAATATTTTTAAAATTGCAAACAGAATTTGTCAATACCTTATATTGTTTTGTCCCTCACTAATGTATCAAATGAAGTAAAATACTTGAACAATTACTGATTAAAAATCAACAAACCTGGTTAAGATATATTAAGAGCTGACTTCATAACAAAATGGAAATTACAAAGGGACTTTATAATCGATGGCCGTACATTTGAACCCATGTGTATATTCGCGGGTTCAATCTATATGCGGGTGCTAAAACCCATGGGTTAGAGTTAGTATTGGTTCAAATATCCGCAAAACAAAACAAAAAAATTCCATAAGAGCAATATATGCAGGTGCAATTGTCGTGTGTTCAAATGTACGGAAACCTTTATAAACACTGTATTTTCTTGACCGTAGTAACGAATGGTAACTTACCTCCCTCTCTGCAGTGACATTTTTCTCGAATACAATCCAATAATAACTGACTTTTGCAATGTGGGTTAAAAAGTTCTTGTCTGTTTTCTAAAATAAATTAATGTGAGTTGTATAACAGCTTGTTTATTTTCTCATTAAAGAAGAACTCAGCGGCGTTCTGTAGAAAAGTGGAAAAGTGACGCTTGGTAAACTATGAGTTTCGTTAGAAAACTTCGACTTCATTTATTGCCATTATTTGTCCATGGGAGATGAAAGTCGATAAAATGGCATAATTACATAATATTACATTGCGATCCTGACTCCGACGAATCCAGAATTTCAACTCCAATTCAAAAAGCAACAAAATACGAAAATAAACTAGGGTAAAAATATTCTATTAAATTAAAGAGTCCAGCTGCACACTAACACAAATGTATATCTGTAACGTTTCGTCCGACCAGAGTCAGACTTCCTCAGACAAGCAGTTTACAACAATATTGTCGCGAAATATATTGCACAACTAAACGGATCTATGGATAGAAATATAACTGCTTTACGTTGTAACCTTTTTTATTATTTCCTTGAATAAATCTGTTTCATGTAGCCAATATGTTTGAGAAATTCCACGGGGCCCTTTACTCATTTGAGTCCGCGGTTGGTAAACACTTTATAGATAGAGATATCAAAATGGCTTGGAAAAAATTGTGGGATACTGTTTGTTCGTCACAACATATCAAAATTAAACGGAGGCTGCGTGATTCATATTACAGGACAAAAATTGAAAGTTACAGAATATGTAAGGCCATTATAAAAGACACCTACCTCCATATCTGACGGAAATGAACAATTGAGTTGACATCTCGAAGTGAATAAGGTGTCGTGCTAGCAATTTATTATATGAATCGAATGTCTGCAAATATTATATTGAAAATCAAAAAGTATTCTATTATGGCGTAACAGTGGCAACCTTATATAGTTACCTATCGTTGTCGGAAATTACTAGTGGACGATGATATCCCAAATATCACTATATTCAAGAAAACTATTTCAAACAAGCAAGAAAAGATCTAGCGTTTTTGCATATTTTGGTTACGGTGTCTCAAAAATGTCCCACTTGCATTACACATGCCCCTGTTTACCGCACATGCAGCCTATTTCACTTTTCCACGCTTGTTTCGCCGTCCTGAGTTAAAGGTATATATATATACGGTGAGACAAATGATTACCACGAATATACTAAGTTGGAATAATGTTATGTTCTAGTTTAGGGTATATATATATATATATACGTTGTTAGACGATAGAATTCATGCAATAGGGGTGTTTTGGTTTATTGTTTTCATAGGTCAATTGCGAGAAAACGGCAATGCTTTTCAAATATTTGTATTTTCTCCTGTCCTTGAATGATAGCGTACGAGACAAATTTACACTTTAAACCATGTTTTTATGTTAGGATATCTAATTCCTCGGTTCCTCACATTTGAGTAATGATCTAAATTTTCACGAACTGAAAAAAACTTATGAAAACCAATCTATTCGTCCAGATACTATTTTAATCTTACGTCTTAAATTCTAGGCTTGTAACAATGATACCTTACCAGGAAGATTGCTTTCCATAGGCATGAAATTTGATCTCGGTCGATCAAAAGGTATTAGTTTACATTTTTGTATGATTTCAGAAGGAACAACATTCTCCAATTGCTCTTTTCTCTACTACAAATTGTTTTACCTCATGTATTATCAATACTTGTGCTGTTGTATATATTTTGAATTACTTCACTATTTCTAATTCGTTACAATCGTCATTTAAGCAGTTTAGTGGTTGAAATGGATCCTGAAATAATATATCTTTCCGATATGTCAGTTGCCTCAATATAAATGCCAATCATTTCTATCTAGCGATCCTTCAGTTTGAATTTTAACCGGTGATAATAAATTTAACGTCGTAAATTGGGTCGAATTCAGATGTTTGAATCATTGAAGAAAAAATTTGCTTTGATTTACGAAGTTAACTGGGTGCTTATCCCTATCAATTAGATTTTAAAAACTAATTTTTGATGAGGATTTGAGCATCTCATCTAAGAAAATCCCATTTGTGCCTTTTACATTGGCTTAACCTAAGATGGTATTTACAATATGCAGATCAAATGTTGTTTCTGTGGCATTTGTAAACACGTGTTGCTTCTGAGTGTTTCAGGTAATCGCAGTCAGCCCTTTACGTTCCTAATCTGGAACGATTACCTGACTAGCTATTCCAACGCCAGAAGTGCGCTAAGGCGTCTAATCGCCACAGCACACCGCGACAGAAATTAATAAAAAATGCTTCTAGATTCTAATCTAGAATATGAGCAGAATCATAAATCCTGGATTAAGATTTGACGCAAATTACTACACATCTCAATTTATTTTAAATCGTTTTACAAAAGAATGATCTTCATTTCATTTTACCGAAAAGCAGCTCAGATGTGCACAACCATTGAGAATGAAATGCCGTACTGGTGTGTTTTAAAGAAGCAGACGCAATGTATGAAAACCATGACGCGGCGAAGGTAATGACTAATGGCGTCGTCGACTTTCTTGCCTTGTGTTCAATAACTTCTTGTGGTTTGTTGTCATAAATCACTATGTTGAAATTTTGATGTCACAAGGTATTAATCAATAGCGGAATCCGTGATTGTCTCAGTTGGCTCTTTTCGGTTGCTTAAATTTGGTTTCAATCGCAATGGAGTCACTATCACCCTGCTATATTGTTTTCTGTAGTCTATGAGTCTAATAAATTTTATTTCTCAAATGGGATTGTTTGCGGGAAAACAATGAACTGCACAATAGCATAATATAATACTTGTATACCCTAAATATAGTTTGCTGTCTCCTTTGGTTCACGCACTTCCAAGAGGGAACCGCAACAACATGCCAGTTGCAAAAAAATGAACAGAAAAATTGGTGATATTCCACGAACATACTAACAGAATCACTGCCAATAGCTGCATATCGTTACATCGAAACTACTACAGTGGTTTACTTATTGTTAGGTTGAAGGCTTTTTCTTTATTAATTTTTATCGCTGAAGTGTTATAATTTATTTTTCCGTAAATTCACGACTTCGCGGGTCACTGAAAAATGGTGAATGTCTCACCATCTGTGCTACGGGATTTACCATTAGACAAGGTAGGCTGAAGCCTAGAGACATCGACATTCCATTTCGAACTGTTCTTCATTTTTAAGTATTTTTTTCAATTTTGAAGGCTTGTTCGACAATTTTACCAGTTTAAAAAATTTTAAACTGACATTCATTTATTTTATTAATTGTGTTTATAATTCTCGTCTTAATACTTTCAGTTTCAGTTACAAGGTTATTAAATACAGTCTAATGAATGAATTTGAAAAACTACCCCTTCGATTTAACAAATATATATATATATATATTTATTTAAACTAATTGAACACCTTTTTACCCAAAATACCGCCTTTGTATTTGGAAAAAGATGATAAAATATCGATATAAAGCTATACTGATTAGTACAATTCAAACAATCTCTTTCGTACTATATATTTAAAATACGTGTATACCCTTACCCTGGATCAGGGGTGGGCAACTTCTCTAGTCAGCGGGCCAGATGTAAGAAAATGAAGTCCTCGGTGGGAAGGATTATTACAAAAAATACTTCGGTATCCAATCTTTGTCAAATGCTCGACGCCCTCTGTCAACTTTACGTTTCTTGGGATATTCCATGGTTAATAAAGTGCTTCATACGGACATAGGGTCTCCGCGATCTATTCGTTTACTCAAAATGGCATTAATAACATTTAAGAAGCAGTAAATACATCCGAGTTATTAATTATAGTATTTTCAATTCACTCATTAATATTGATCGGTAAGTAACAATTTGTGTTTGTTACGTTCTTATTGTGGGCTACGTCAATTTCAGTCCACCTCTTCACGAGCTCCATAACACCAAATATTTGAATGGTCTCGAATAGATGATCTATATACTATCAGTTGTTGTCGTCGGTATGCACTTGTCTTGAGCAGTTAAATATTTACTTCCCATAGAACCGTGATTAATGCTTTCGCTGATGTTATGTCTCCGCCGTTTGGTTTGGGCGAAGAAATTACTATACAGTAGGCATCGAAACAACGTCACATTATGACCTGCCTTTAACGACATCGCCGGCACGTTATTGTACGAAAACTTAAAATTATTCTTGGCTGCGCAAGTCAATAAGCTAAGATTTGTACGCCAATGCAGAGAATGCATTGGTATAACGCTAAATTTGTATACGACGTTATTCTTTCATTGAGTTGTGGGAGGGTTACATTTTCGATGGCATTCACGTGCGCGTTTACTCTACAAATATAAACAGACAAATATAATGGAATTGCTGGATTCTTTGTATTAAGCTCCCGTCACTGATGCAAAAATATGTGATTTGAGATAAACACCGTGTCACGTTTTAAAATAAAAAATAACTAATTATGCAGTTAGGGTTTTGGGTTAGGAACGATTTGAAAATTTGAATTTCCGACTGAATCTGCATCCCTCGCCTTAACTGAATAATTACTATTTCTATTTAATTCGAGCGTTGGCGGGGTGTTGTTTAGGGGGTGGGGCTTGGTACAAAAGATCCCGAGAATATGACTGTGAACTAGGTATTGAAGCAAATCCCAACCGCCATTTGCATTCTGCATCTTTGAGATCACGCGCCAATAGCGTGATCGACTCGTAACGACAACCTGGAGTAATTAAAGTAATCAGTTAAAACATTTGATTACAAACAACAGTTAGCTTTTTTCGTCAACTATTTTTGCGCGGGAAGCCACAAGCGACATCGCTTTTGGTCAGTCACAAATGTACGTGGTAAGATGAGGTTTGATTTTGTGTAGGATGGTAGGATGTATGGATAAGCTGACTGTGGGTTATGACAGTGAGTTCGAAACAATATTCAGGTGAGCTAAATGTTCTTTATACCTATTGTTTTCATTGCTATTATATTGCTTTCATTTTACTATTGTATAAGTGGTAAATTAGAGGTTTTCGGGCCTATACGAATCGGAATTATTAACCGAATACAGAAGTCTAGATTAATGGATGATTCTCTTTTGTATCGAACTCACTAACAGCGGGTTCCATCGTTTCCTCACAAAAAGGCCAAACTTAAAAGCTATATGGCAATACATAAACTTGTCATAAAGAGAAACTTAAACGTGATACACTGATCTACGTAAGTACGTAAGCTGCATTCAACATGGTACGCTTTACATGAATGTAATGCGTCAATTTCAAAACTTTTGCAAATGTAGCGCAAAATCCATGGTTCAATTGAGATTCACCGTAGCCTTTTTACTTTGATATATTATTGTGTATGGATTGGATCTTTGTACAAAGACCCTACTAACGTTCAAAATAAGAGAATTAGGAATTATCCAGTTTAAGTTAGGAATGCAGATTGCGCTGGAAATTCAAATTTTCAAATCATTCCTTACCCCAAATGGATAATTACTAATATGTCATTTTAAAACGTGGCGGGAGCTTTGTGCAAAAGATCCGATAGATTCAGTCCCACTGTCCATTGAATATGCTAGCTACAGTTCTGCGACAGTTTATTTATCAACATCTTAACTTTTTTTCAGGTGCAGAAATATTAAAGGTTAAAGATGCAAAAACACGAAGTACCGAACGGGGAATATTACAAGTAAATATTATTTGAACATTTTATTTGACTTTCGACGCCTATTGATTCCTGTATACCACTGTTTTTGTTTAAAATGCTAAACAATTCGATGCGAGCGCACCGCGTCTCGTCGACTTTTCCTCTCGAAATTGTAAGATTTAGATTTTGCACAAGTTTTAATGATTGTATTTCGAACCAGAAGTCTCAAATAAGTAATATAAATATAATACCTTGTATCAAATTGGTGTACTCTTTGCGACCCCTAAAATGCGTTGCGCGCTTCCCTGCTAGATAGCGATCCCCAGTTTGCGATCCCTACCGTGAACAATGTGATAATGCTACAAGTTACAGAGGTAATTAGTCATATACTCCATAAAACAGTTATAAAACTACATTGGGTATTTTATTGTTATTTCAATATTTGCATTTTGTGCAGTTTGAAAACTACACCTGATATGTTATAAAGTATATATTTGAAATTTAATGGCAATCGCTGAATGAATTTTATTCGTCTAAATTTCTAAGTTTTGGATTTTATGAAATTAAATGTCGAAATTTACCCGTTACGTATCTTATTAAAACTTACCTATATTTTGGAAGAAAATATTCAGAAAGGAGTCTTACTTTAAGAATACAAAATGAGGTACAATATGTTACACTAACATATCATTTTAACTAACTATCATTTTAACATAAGCATAGCTTTGCAGTGTCTCTGTCAAATAACATTTGTGTAAATTAATTACCTGGAAATGCCATAGTGGGCTCAACGAAATTTAGTTTAATTCAAATTTAGAATTGGCTTACACAAAATCACGACACTTATATTGATTTTCAGCGTTTTAAAACAGGACAATTTATCATTGCACCAAAAGAAATTCGTCAAGTGCCAGGTTTTCATCACTGAGTGAGATGGAGGCCTATCAAGTCTGAAGAGCAAGTATGTAACCAAATCATTTGAAATCTTTCAATTCACATGTCTATAAATAAATGATTGTATTTATTGAGGGAAATCTACCGACAAATTATAACTTTTAATATATTGAGTATATATAAGCTTAGTTTTGTTTCGTCTGTCAAATGAAATTTATTATAAATTACAACCTCAAAATTTTATAATATCATGATTCGCACAACTACCGTTTTATTCTGGCTATTGAGTCGGCCCAGTGAATAAGGCGGGGGTCATTTTTTAGAAATAAAATTAGGCTTTTTTCGTTCCCACCCAATAGTCGAGACACATTATTGCATTACATTATATATGTAGTATATTATATATGTAGTATATAGTATAATGGCGTTTCTGTCGCACAATATTCCGTCCATGACAACGACAAGAATTTAAAATGTCTTTCTAATTTAATTTAATTGTGTTCATGGTAACTCGCGGTTGCGTCGACTTACGACAAGATGAAAGCATTACATTTTTTAAAATGCCACGGCAATCTGCGAACATAATAGTGTGAGAATATATTCCCCGATTATATTTAGTTTTGATACATATTTTTTGCGATCTTGCGAATTTGTTATCGCCGTTAGAAAAATATTACTTTCTGCTATAAAGTTCCAGAAAGTACAACTTGATTTAGTACTTATTAAAAAGATATTTAAACTTTATTAGTAAATCAAAAATACATACTCATCGCCTTGCTTTACTATTAAGTTAATTGTGATGATTTTAATCATAAAATCATAAAACAATCATAAAACAAAACTTATGGTGTTATCCGTTTTATTTTTAGTATTTTGTATTGCCGCTTTTCAATTTAGAAAATTTGGGTTGCCACCATTGGCACCTACCAGAAAAAAAAAATTATTTTTCGTTGTTCGAACTCGCGAACTCTATTGAAGCGTGTGTTTTCGTCGGAAATCCGTAAGTGAGTTGTGAAATCTAATCATTTGATTAAGCGACGCGTCACCTGTTACCAAATTTTCGAATAGAAAATTGCTATTCTAATAGTTGAATATTGAAGTATATGCCCAGTCCTACTCATTAAACAGTAATTATTGACTCGAATAATGTTATGTGAATGAACTTCCCTTTTATGTTTTATGTAAATTCTAACGATAATCCTAACTTGGCTGATAGTTAAGTTTCGCAAAGACGTTTGCAGCCCACAGTAAATTTCTGGCTCGTTGCGGACTCATTCAAACGCGAGACCGCGGACTCGGGTTGGGAAACACTGATCTAAAGTATACGCATGACTTCTCTGTGCTCCTGTCAAATTACATTTTCTGTAACTTATAAACTTAAAACTTAATAATAACAGAGTTCGAACAACTATATCTAATTCAAATCAATATTATACAAAATTTACCTACATTTCAATATCTCATATAAATTTCAGCTTTCTGAAACACTTCTTGACAGCGGGAAAGACAATTTATCATTATATCTAAAGAAATGCTGGAAGCATTTGTCCGATTATGCATCACTGAGAGAGGTGGCTGCCTCGAGTCTAAAGAGCAAGTATGTTATCATAATCTTTTGAATCTTCCTAATTTACATTCATCATCATTATTCACGGATCCCCTCAATAAATTTTGAAATTGTTATCTATTACTATTCCTAAGTAAGTTAAAATTACTTTGCTTAATTTAAATGCTAAACATTTTGAAGGCCTAATACCAGACATAAATAAATCTAAATTTCATAGATAAATTAAATATATTGAGGCTGTAAACTCAACGAACATAATATCAAATTTGAGGTCGAACACGCTTTTGGTGTTTTTGGAATACTGAAAAAGTTCTAATAACGTACGCGATGGCATTTTGGTAGTATCGCCGATAGTTTTCGTCAGCTTGACTTGTTTTTATCAAACAACTTATGTGCTTATTCACTCTGAATCACAAATCTTCCTTGGCATATGCATGTATTGTTCCACGAGGCCGGCGATAACTTTTTTTTTCTTGTGCGGAATTAAGACTTAAAACTTATGTGCTTATTCTATCTGAATCACAAATTTTCCTTGGCATATGCATGTATTGTTTCACGAGACCGACGATAACTTTTTTTTTCTTGTGCGGAATCAAGACTTCAGTGTGCAAAACAAGTTAGAATACTATATTATAAAAATCGGTGAAGAGAAGCTAAGAATAAATGATAAAGAGGTGAATCCGCTACCCAATTTCTTGATTTAAAAGCGGCAATATAAAATATCAAAACTAAAAGCTAAAACGAAAGATTTCACCATAAGTTTTGTTTTAGCAGTCTCGTAGCAGATTGAAAGCAGCATTTCCCATGGGACACGTGGGACACGAAAACCATATGATTTTCGGGAAAATGATGGTAATAAATTTCATTATGGATTCCGTGCCCATATATTTGAGCATAACCTCCTTGTTAGTTATAAAGAGCGAAACATATACATCATTAACAATATACTTCGTGAAGGGGCTGACACATGTATAATAGGTATGAATATAAAATTAACAAAGTCCGTAAATGTTGTTTTTTTGCATGTCTCTTCGTACATGTAGTCCTATTTATTAGACGCTCAGCCTAAATTTAACATTTTTTATTGAATTTTATTCTAATGGGAATCCCATGGGATGGGATGGGATGGGACAAGGATAGTTGCTATGGAATGGGAATGGGACAGAAAAACATGATCCATGGACAGGCCTGCTTTTGTCCATATTTATTAGCATGTGTGGCATAGTCATAGAATGTTATTTATTTTGTTAAATGCAATTTGAAACTGATTTGTTTTTCCAATCGTGTGAATTACTTGTATATCTATCAATAAATATTATTTGTAATTTTTTCGGGAAACCTGCAGACAAAGCAATATTTTTATTATATTGAGTATAAGCTCAGCTTTGGTTTGTCGGTCAAAAGAAATTTTCTATGGAAAATCACCTAAATACTTTTAATATCATGATTCGCACAACTGTGTTTTTTTCTGGCTAATAAGCGAATAAGACAAGAATAAATTTTAGCAATCGTGTTTTTGTTATATTACCGCACAATATTCGGGTTAAAAATTGCATTACTTTGTTCCAAATTTTGTCAGATTTTTGTCATTCCTGAGAAGGAACCTTTTCCCTTGTGTTCGCAGTAATGATGTTAGTTTAGGCACCAATGCACGCTCATAATTTTATATGGAAAAGTCTTTTAGAACCGGACCTGTGTTCATTTCTTCGTCGGCATGAAACTTAATATTCTATCTCGAAAAACTGTAATTTAGCATTAAAAAGGTATCAGCAATTATTCGCTGGGGCAATGGTTTGCAAACGGCGGGGCGCGCCTTGCAAAATGGGCCTAGACAATTTTTGAGGGGGCATGTAGATAATTAAATCTATTTTTTATTTGTTGGACTTAATCGTGCATTTTTTGGATATTTACATTTCATCCTCGTATTTTCAAGGTATTTTTGAATGAAACATACTAATTGTTATTTGTAGCTTATTGCTAGCTAGTTATTTTTGAGGTGTGGCGAGTATTCTCATAACAAGAGTTATATTGTAATCACCAAAATTCCTAAAAATATTTTCATAGCTATACTATACTTATGAAATGTTTTTTTTCTTCTTGAGATATATGTACCAGTACTTTTTTATTGATTTACCCTTGAACCCTTCCACGAAAACGTCTGGCTAACTGCTAGAACAGCATTGTATCAATAATAATATAGAGGGGAAATAATTAATTCTAAAACATGGCAACTCATTTCTATGTATAATGAATTAAATTGAGTACACACTGAGTTTTGCGGATACGAGAATGTATTGCTTCCTTCATTGATAGCATAGTCATTATTATCCTGCGTAGAATTCATTGATTTAATTTTATGAGCCAATCTGGCTAATCTCATATATGTAATTTGAAATTATCATGGTCTATGACCATGGTAGTAACCAGTCAACCGTGCCATTCGTGTTCCAAGCCAGAATTACATTAGCTTTTCGATAACGATGTTATATAAGTAGGTCCAAGCGAGTGTATCAATGTGAATTATATACCATTCGGCACTGGTTCACCACGCCATGCAAGCCTCAAACTAAAATATCGTTTCCAGTGGCGATACTGTGATGCAGTGGTCTCAAACTTCTCCGTATTGTGAAGGCCTCCAAAATATATGCTCAAGTTACGACTCCCCGTGAAAACCGCCTTAATACCTTTCAATAAAGGACCTTTTTTGTAATGAGTTCTCAAAGTCTGTAAGATTGCATTTAATGGGATGGGAATACTTGCGTCTTTTTACAATTGTCACTGAACCTTTGTGTATTGTGTATTGTGAGAGCCGCACGCATTTCCCTCTCAACATTTACTCGAGATCGATATTTTGTGTGTATTATGCCCAGCATGGTCGAAAAACCTGCTTCACATGAATACGAAGTCCCAAAAGAGATCAGAGTACACAACGCATTTTTTACCAAGGAAGGATAATCCTTATTGAAGGAAATCCAATAACTCATTACATTTTCAGAATTCAAATTCCTTTTAAAACGATTCCGTTCAAAAACGGCGAAGAAAAGCAGCAATATATTGTTGAAGCAAGATTTTGACCAGTGAAACATGTTATCTAATAAGCCCAAACGGCATTTAGTAACATCGCATCCCCAGTTGCAACAAAAACCACGAAGCTTTACTACTTGAACGATCTAATTCTAAAGTCAATGTAGCCTACGTCATACTTGTATTTTTAGATTTCTCGTATAGTATCGTTTCCACGCTTGCAATATTACTTTTTCTATGCGGCCAAAAGAAATTCCGCAAAAAAAGAAATAAATGTTTGCGATGCCCGAGCAAAATTGATACGACGCCCACTTTGACAACCACTGCTGTACCGTATCAATATAGCCGTAAATCCTATTGGTAATAGTCCGTTGATGTTCATAATTGTCTGCATTAGAAATGTATTTCCTATTGCTATATCGTTGATTGCTGGTGCTAGTATGTTAGGTCATTATGTCTATACATCTATATATATGATAAAATAGAATAAATACACGGGTTTTACGGATACAAGCATGTCTATATTTCTTATGTTTTATTTATACAGGTATTACGTTATTGATAAAAAGGTCCTTATTATTCTGTGTAGAATTTACTTGTTTAATCTTATGAGCAAAACTTGTTTTTACCACAAAATAGTATCATACTTTAGCCAATAAAGTACACGTTTTGACGTTGTAGATGTAGTTTAATGTTGTAGTTATACACGGAGAACAAACGATGAAGACATGACAACACGACATCGATCCAGACGACTTGACTCCTAATACAAGACCTTTTCAATACCTCTTCTTCAATACCCTTTTTTTAAATATCCAATTGAAACCTTATATACGTATGCGCGTATGGTGATATCGATTCCATTAGGGTTATCGATTCGGGTTGAAATACTAATTAGCATCTGGTGTCATCGATCCAATTATATTTTTGGTTGGCATCTGTTGTATAATTACAACGGGCCCTTTATCGATCTAATATATGAATTTGGAGAATTTCGAAATAAGCAATTTTCAGTCTTTTTATAAATTTTACTTGAAATATCGAATTTATCCCTAAATATATCTACGCCCTTTAGATTGGAAATCAGGGTTTGAGGCATATTTGTCACCTAACATACGTAAATTAAAAAAACACATTGAAAATGACAAAAAAACACAATTGAAAGATATACATAATGAAATTCAAAAATATGGGACGAGAAGATTTAATAATGAGAGGGATGTAGGATGACAGTAAGAGTATAGATTAGAAAAGAAAAGGCGATTTATTGTTTTATCAAATTTGATTTCGACAGATAAAACTGATCTTTCAATCCTATATACTTCGTCACACTGAATTACTGATAGCTCATGTGTTTGAATAAATAGCGCTTTGTAAGTTCGCTTGTTGCGATATGTTGATAATGCCAGCTTCGGGCTTTGAAAAAAAAAAAATAGCGCTTTTTTTGTTAAAAAAATTGTCATATACTCGTGTTTAACGAATATATTGATGAGCTCATTTATGCACCGTTCTTATGGCGATGTTATAAACGCTTAAAAGAGTGACTCGTTTGAATCATCTTTTAACAATAGTTCAGTGTTAATGAAATCTATCTAATCGAAATAGTTTGCATCCGTCAATGTTAATTATTATAAATCACAAGAATTTTGAAATTGAATATTCACCTCCATTGCATAATCAATTGGCCATAAGATTAGTTGCAATTTGAGTAAATACCCAAAGTCTGTTTTCAAGAAATTCATAGAAATTACGATCCGAATTAATATTGCCAAAAAAAGCTAAAGAAGGACTATACATTGAGAAAGGAAGTAGTACGATAAATGTCCCAGTTAGGAGAAAAATCTTATGTATATATACCAAAGTAAAACAAATTGATGAATAATATTTTCATTCGATTGTCTTGCTCGATCATTTTTCGCTGTGATCTTCATGAAATCTAAAAGCATGCGCTTCCTTCGTACGTTTATAAAAGATTATCGTTCGTTGTATTATACCATCAGTTTAATTTAGCCTGATACAATTTTTCACCTTGTATTTTTTAATTCAAAATAAAACTCATTGTGTGGACTTTATCCGTCGTCTGATTCTTTTCCGATTCCGTACCTTTGTTCTCTCGTGCGGTGATTCCCTTTATTGCTGTACCATCTTTACTGTTGTTGATATTTTTCTTCTTCGATATGCGCTGTTTTTGTTTGTTGGGTCACCTTTATCGATTTCGACTCCACATCTGAAGGTTTGCTATTCTTTGTTCGGGATCACCATTTTAGCCAATTAAAACACATTGAACGTTGTTGAAGTAGATTATAACGAATTTATCCCTAAAATACTATAAAAAAGAATCCGACTAAGCTCAGAAATGTAACTGTAAATTATCATGTTCTATACCAGTGGTTCCCAAAGTTTTCAGTCGCAGTAATATATACAGTAAAATATACAAATTCATCGCCTCCCGTTTACAAAAACATTTGAGGTCAGAAACAAATATAATACAGAACAAATAAACAAGATAAATCATAGTTTATAGTGTTTTTAATGAAATGTATTAGCTTAGTGATCTTCCAGAGAGTTTTTTTTTTTTTCAATTTTCGACGACATTTTCGTCAGCCACAATCTCAAATCACCCTGTTTACTAATCGAATGGCGATTTCTTTGTTTTGATAGCACTTGTTTTGTTACAAACTCCTTCTCCACCATAAAAGAGGTCGTAAATGAAAGAATCCAGGTTTCTGGCTTCTGCCTTCTACCTTTTTTTGCATGGTTTGTAAAATTATGAGAGATTTTCATTAAAAAGATGCATCTTTATAAAAATCACGCATTGATGCATCTTTCGAATATAACATATGGATTTTATTTTCTCATTTCATTGCATCTCAAGAAACATTGTAAAGGAGCATTTACATATTTTCTGCTGTATTGAACCCCTGCACAGTGGACTCAGCATCAACTTTTTTGCGTGTTATCATTCGTCTAAATATATTTAAATTGTAGGCTCGTTAAACGATAAACTGTTTTATACCACCTGGTAGTAAACAGGTAATAACCATGTCATTCATGTTCCAATCCAGAATCGCAATAAATTTTCAATACTGGTAATATTGGAGTGAGTCTAATTAAGTACATTAATATAACCGTGGATCTTACTGCCTTCGGTGCTGGTTACCCATGTATTTCGTGTCCCAAACTGAAATTTTCAATAGGGATGATATATAAATTAGGCCAAATGCACCAATGTAGACGTAAATCCCCTACGTCCGACTTATACTTCTCTTGGTAGTCCCAGTAACCAATAACCATACGTTTCATGTTCCTACGTTCCCTTGGTAGTCCCAGTATCCAATAACCATACGTTTCATGTTGATATGTGTTCGAAGTTGGCAATCCTTGTTACTCCCAGTAACCATACAATTCATGTTGAAAAGTGTTAGAAGCTGGCAATCTTTGCTAGTTCAAGTAACCATACGATTCATATTGATAAGTGTTCAAAGCTGACAATCCTTGGTAGTCCTAGAAACCACGCGCTTCATATTGATAAGTGTTCGAAGCTGGCAATCCTTGGTAATCCAAGTAACCATACGATTCCTATTGATAAGTGTTCAAAGCTGGCAATTCTTGTTAGTCTAAGTAACCATACGGTTCATATTGATAAGTGTTAGAATCAGATAATCCTTGGTAGTCACTGTAATCATATGTTTCATGTCATTCATATCCTATATTCATGTGTGTATGTATCTATGTATGACGCTGTATTAATGCGAATATTACGACTCTAAAATTGTTTATCATGAGGCTAACATATCTAACTTCGTTACAAGCATAGTCCTTATCATTCTATATACCATATACCCTTATTTATTAAACTTGAAACCCGTTTTCACCACAAATGGCAAGTCACGCGAAGTACCATACTATGTAAGAGAATCTTACAGAGGGTATTAATGTAGTTATTAACCCCCTTGTCTGTTGATAACCTTATTGATATTTTGTTGAGCATTGGAAGTTGAATTGTATTTCAAATAACGATAACATATAAGTGTATTTATATTTAATATAACCTTAAATCTCACTCATTGGTACTGGTTTAACCATATGGTTCATGTCCTAACATTAAATTCCCTATAATTTACTATAGCCGTAAATAACTTATGACCAGTATAGACCTTCATTGGTAGTGTTCCTAGAACCCATGCCATTCTCTATTTCTTCATAGTTTATTTCGAGTATTAATATGTTATGTTCTTATAATGAATGTATAATATCTACAATCCCTGTGGCTAATGTAACTTAATTGAAAATTATTTGTTGTTGGGAAGAAAAAGAAGAGAGGACCTGAATATTAAGGTAAATATAACACACAATGCCTGTGGTACACAAACATTTTAAGCCGCCCAAGTTTGGAATTTCTCAAGTCTCGCGCTAACTAGTTAACAATGTGCTACAAAAACACAGATAGTTAAGACGGAAGTTTTCGTCAAGAAGCACGTTGCAAATACGTGGATGAAACGTAAATAATGAAATAAATTAGGAAAATAAGGCGGACAAGATTTTAGGCTTTTTGTAAGTTTCATCAATCAGCTTTACGTCCCCTTAAAATGTTTACCTTCCCTCGTGAGGCGCGCCCCACCGTTTGAAAACCACTGAACTAGTAAATAATTGACTGGTCAATATTTATATGATGAAATACAATATAATGCACTGACAGATCATTCAAATTAAGTACAAATTGTAATTTTCGTGGAAATTTTGGAAAATTGCAGCAAATAATTTTAGAATAAACGAAAAATTAATAATTTATTTTTTTAAACTTCTAGTATAAGCTTAGCTTCTCTGTGTCCCTGCTAAATACAATTGCAAAGATTAATAATGACATAGTTCGAACAACTATATCTCTTCTGTGTATTTCTGTCAAATAGCATTTTTTGTGATTTAAATAACTTGATAGTGTCTTAGGTCAACGAAATTTAGTTTCACCTAAAAGTTAGATAGACTCGGTGTACACATGATCATGACATTTAATTGATTTTTTTATGTATTTTTATTATAAGCTTACATTTGCTTCACCTCTGCCAAACAGCATTTTTTGTGATTCATAATAAAATTATATTTTTATTTTCAGTTTTCTAAAACACTGCTTGAAAGAGTCATTGCATCAAACGGAATCGACATTGGTATACTAATAGTCTGGTGCATCACGGAGTGAGACGGAAGCCTATATATATAAAGATTAAAGAGCAAGTATGTAATCTTATAAATCTTTCAATTAATATTTTGTCAGGTATAAACTGATATATCATGTTAAATCCCGCTAGTCAGGAAGAGCTGCAAATATTTGAATTATCCTCACAAGATGTCCAAAATATTTCGCCCAATTTTATTGATATAATTTCGTAAAGTCATGTAATGCAATGGTTTCCACACGCTAGTTCACGGGCAGGTGTTCAGTTTTTAGCCGGTATGCTATAAATTTTGCTGCTTTGATAATTTCGTATACCTAATTTCCGAAAAGAAGCGGGTTATGTTTCCTTTTGGGCGTTCTGCTATCGATGGCAAGTATCGAAGTATGTATGTCCCAGTCGCCAGCAATGGGGTTATAATACTGGCAATGAGGCATTTGCGGTTGCATTCATACAATTGGTCGGGCCTCATTTTATAGTATTTATTATATCCATATTTTATGGGTTTGTTTCATCGCCATAGCGTTTTGTTAGTTTTTCGATAGTCTAGAACAGTAGTTTTAACCAGGGTTAAATCGAGTTTTTAGTGTTCGTTGGAGCTGTTCCAGGGTTTCGACGAGGGTCCTTTAAATTCAGTTTTATATTATGGCACTTTTCCAGCACATCGTCCTCAAATTATGCACATTTAACTAGAGTTCATCTCAGATATTTAAACTTACACGTTTAACAACTGATAAATTAGCGTTGCTGTTTGTATAGTGTGCGCAGTCGTACGTTTTAGTGAACCCGTCATCTCCACGGATGTCGCGCGCTTGGGTGTTTGTGCTTTTATGATAGTGCACTTAGATGCTTTCTGCTTATGACTTTCAAACATCTTGGATTGTTATGGAAAACCTAAGATTTTCAAGATGAATCTTTTCACTTTCTATAACCTTGCACGAAATTAGGCTTCCCCTTTATAAAGTTAGGATTGGGCTCCTAATTTCAACTGTTCGGTACAATGGGGTTTGGCGAGGGCTTTCAGGATAGTGCAGGGGTTCGACAGGCGCGGAAAGGTTAAGGTTAACTAGAATTTGAAAAATCACACAACGTTACGTAGTATTGTTTTTTTTCGATGTTGCCATATCGAGAGAGTAGAAACAGACAGGTTCAAATAGATTTGTTATAACATATATCCAATTCATATCGAATTATATTTTCTGTCATTCATAAACCCAAAACTTGACATAGTTCACATAATGACATAGTTCGTAAAATTACTGGTACATTCAAATTCTAGTCGAAATTAGATCGAAATAACTAAATATTCTCCGGAAATTAATCAATTTTTGTAAAATTTACCGTCTTCGAATACCACATTGTGCCACCACAACTTTTTGTTGATTAAGTTTTTTTATATTAGTGCTCGATTTCCCGAATATTTTTGAAAAAACCTATTGTGTTTCAAGTATATTACCACAATTGAGAATGTTTCTTAAGAAAAATGAGAGATTTGGGAAAACACCCCCGCCATCTTCAAAATGACAAAATATTAGTTGTCCAGCTTGGGTTGGAGTTCTGGATAAGAATGATTTGAAAATTTGAAATCTGCATTCGTTTTTTTTTTTGAAAAAAATGCATCAATTGAATTGAATTTAAATCTGTCATCAACTTAAATGCCCGACCCAGATTTGTGTTTGGCAAATTTTAATTTTTATTAAAATACAAAAAAGTACGATAATCAATAATTTATTTCTAAGTCATTGTCGCATGAATTTCTTATCCGTACAAAAATACATTGGAAAATGCTAAATGATGTTTATTGTTTTTACCTGAGTAAAACAGTAAAGATGGAAAGTAAGTATGTTAATATTGGGGAAATGAAAGCAAACGTATCAACAAAAAGGCGCTGAACGTTTCCACAAATTTATGAAAGAAATGAAATGGTCACTTCTAATTCTCTGATAAAGCGTAATAGATTGATAGATTTGAAAGCACGTAACACGAGGACTTTTTATAAATTTTCAGAATTTTCTGATTTTGTCGTAACGATACTGATCAGTTTGTTCTTCATTGGAGTTTGCGATTACTCTTGAAGAGAGGGAAAATGAACTGCAAAATTCTTGTTCCTTCTTGTTCCATAGAAAACAGTTCCAAACAGGCTGGCAAGCCAGAAAATATCCAATTTACACTGCACACATGACGAGTCATATTAATAAGGCCCTCGCTTAATAGTTTGTTCTATTTTAGCTGATCTACTGCTAATAAGTGGACATTTATAAACTTGTTTTGATATCTCAAGGGCATGACACTGTAATGTCGTTGTACCATACGTAGTTCGTCAAATAGACGCGTTTTTATTCCTTTAACTTGTTTCTTATTTTAATGTTGGAGAGTGTTAGAATAACTATAGGTTAAAACACGTCCAACTAACTGTCAACTGAAGGCGCTTAAATTTACCCAATAGGCTAGATAATTCCTCTTCTACAAATGCGGTGCACTGGTTAAACTTGTGCGTGCATTGAAAAATATACACAAAAGAAAACTAATTCATAATATAGAGCCGAGATAAAATAATGCTTAGGACACAGAATGTTTTTGTGCGTTAAACTGTGTTTGGAAAGACAAAGTTTTGGCGTTGGTTAATTTTAAATTTAGCCGACAGATTACTGGAATGCTTTGGTTTTATTCATTTCGTATCACATTAATGAAAAAATAAATAAAAATACGCTCGGTGCGTTAATAAGCCTTGTTGGCTGTAATTGTGACAAAATTAAACTACTATAATAATATACTAAATATATATACTACTACTATAATTTTGAAAAAACAAAAATGCAGATTCTACTTGATTTCATGCAGGTTCATCCTAAAACTCTCATTTGTGGTGCGATTGTTTTGAAGTCATATTTTAAAAATATGTTAACGTAACTATAAAGAAAACGAATCTCCCAAATCAAATAAACCCTCTTTGGGTTTAGTACAAAATATAGAACGCCGTTAACATTATAAAGAGGAAAATATGGAATACCTGTAAAGAAGAAAAATGTCTGTACATTTTATGCTTCAACGGACATTTTTTTCTGTAGTTCTTTGCGTTTCATACTTTTTTATTTGTTTTTTTTGTTGTTGTATTTTGTGGTATTCCAAGACTTCATGATAATATTGATTTTACTTTTATCTTGGTTTGAAAAAGACAATATAGTTGCTCTCCTTTCCTAAGAGGTCATTTATAAACTTGTCCTGGTGTCACGATGCCATGAAAATATAATGTCATTGTAACTTACGGGTCGTCTTCTGATAATCGCGTTTTTATTACTTCAACTTGGTTCCAATTTTAATGCTTGATTCAAATTAGAATATTTTTAAGTTGAAACACGTTCAAATATTAACTGAGTACAGCTGAACTAACCCAATATGCTAGGTTTATTTTGCAATAATATAGTCTGGCTTGAATATTAATTTTTTAACGAATGTTCAAATTACTATCGTGGATTGTTTACTTATTTTATTTTATCATTAATTGCGGTATATTGGATTTTTCATTTATTTCAATTTCGGTTTGGAATTATTAAAATGAGTGTTCTACCTTCTGCTTAAAACAAACATCAATGTCGTTGTACAGTCGGTGCTGGTCAAACGAAATTAGAAGGCTTCCGGAAAAAGGTATCGGGTATCGGTAATATCGGCAAAATATTTGGTATCGGTATTCGTATCGATATCAGCTAAATGTAGACTGATATTTCAAGATAATTAACTTTTTAATCTATTCCAGAATGTTTTTCAAAAGTAGGTTGAAATACTGATATGAAAATTATTTTTTGCTTTTCACGGTTTTAGCCTCGTTAAGTATGAGCAATGCTGTTTTCCAACCGCGCGAATAGAAACGAGAATAGGCCACCCACAGTAGCCAAACCCGATGAGTTTTCTAACCGAACACCGATATTATTAGCGTCAGTGTGCAATGTATTTAAACTAAAAAACGTATCTGGACCCAAATCATTAATTCTTATTATCTGAAATATGTTTTTATTTCAATCTGAGAAAATTGTGTGGCATAAATACTGCTTGCAAACTGTTACTTTACCTAGTTTGGACTGCATACTTGAGATAATAATTACATAGCATGTAAATGTCGGCAATTTCTGCTTAAAATATTGATATCGGCGTTTTATCGTTGTTGTCGAATCGGTATCGGCGACAAGTGGTATTGGTACATCTCTCATGTTGGAATCTCTAGTATAATGTAATGAACGTTAATGTAATGTTTAAAATTGATATCCACCGCATGCGTTAATGTATCTTTACTGCAAACATTAAAAACTCGTATGATATCAAATAGCGTCTCTTATTAAACCATCTTAAGCGTGTAATTGGTTACACATACTACCACTAAGATTCATTTCCTCAGCTACAGACAAAGTTTAATTGTTTTATTCCGTATATATATATTTGACCCGGGGTTATTTCGAGAGTTATCGGGCATTGTACTTTTGGTGAATGACCGCTCATAGACTACTCTCTTTGAGGCAATTTCATCGTCTGTTCGCTGGAAGAAAAGAGGCATGTTGACGTAAACAAAATCTTGTATCGGTCTTGTCTTCTCATATTCTTGTTTGTTTATTATTATTTCGGTATTTCGGATCATTGCGAGTCGGCTATTCAAGAGGTAATTCGCATTAGAAGTTTGTCGTTTAAGTAGTGTTAATTCAATTGCCGTAATAAACTGATTGTTGGCTTGTATTATATTTTAGTTAAATGGGTTCAATAATATTGCATAAATTAATGTTGGTATTGTTTGCATCTTTCGGAATTAAGTATGTTGTCGACCTACTTAGGTTGGTCGTAAAATTTAGCAACCCTATACATTAATAGTTTTGGCTTCTACATTATGCATTTCGCACATATTATTTGTTTTTTCGTACTTTGTTCATGTAGACTGAATATTTCATTGCCAGTAATAGACTTCAATCATATTCAAAGTTGTGGAGTTGTTAATATCGAGAAAACTGGCAGGTTATAGGTCTAAGGTAGTTGATGACGCGCAGGTCACCGCCCAACACGTTATAGGCGTCTTGTAGAGCCATACGTAATAAGTTGCTCATAATTTACTTCCTCTATTATAAAAAGGCATAATCACTAAATGTATATTTTTATTAATATATTAAAATTAGTATATAGTATATATAAATATAGTATATATATAAATAGTATATATAAAAAAAATAGTATATTAAAATATATTTTTACAGGATTCCTCAATTAAGGAACGTGACGACTCTTTCTGTTTTTCAAAAGAAAATAAAACTCAATTATTCAAATATGAAGAAAGTCTTATTAAAGATGACTAAGATGTGCTAGCCAACAAATGCATCGAGTCCACACACAAGACTTTGATATTGAAAAAGTCACTATTTGTTTGAGACTGTATCTCATTGCCCTACGCATTAAGCTCGTATGCATGTGCACTGATTACTAATATGTGGTAGCAAACAAATGCATTGGGCAGCACGCACAAATGCCTTTATATCAAATAAGACTGTTGTTTAAAGCTATACCAAAATGCCATACACACTGTAAAAGAAATATATGCAAAAGTTTAAATGGGTCAACTCGTGAGGAACTAACTATTTGTGTATATTGAATAATTGCAAACAGATTCTTGATTGTATATTTATTAATGAATTGAATCATAGCTCAGAAAACTAAATAAATTGTTATTTGTATTTTATCACCCTGCAATGTAATCCTATATTTGATGTCCTGGTATGAAAAATTTAAAATATTTCTTTCGTTTCACGTTATTCTTATATTTTTATTACTGTTATTATATGTTACTGATTAGTGATTTATATTATTGTTTATTACTGATATTTTACATTTTTAATAAGCTTTTTTGTAATATGCTGTTTCCATATTTGGCTTTTTTTGCCGTAGTCTTTATTTTCTATTGTATTTTTTGAGATATTTTCAACAGGAAAACAAGATATCGTGACACCGACAAAAGAAGAAAAGTATTAACAGGGATCGCCATGGCTTTTTTGTTTTTTATATTTTATTTGTTATAGATAGATTAGTCCCATTCCCGCCATTAGGAATAATAGGGTTTTATTAGGCTTAGATATTTTTAATGTTATTCTAGCCTCTCAGGCACACAAGTATGAAGACACTGGAAAAATCAAGAAAAGACTGATAGAAGGAAAATCTACAAATTACATGTAAATATTTTTCGAATTTATGAGGCTCAGATATTTTTAATGGTATTCTAGCATCTCAGTCACAGAATTTATCAAGAAGTAAGAAAAAGTCTGATACAAGGAAACAATGAAGAAATTAGGAAAAGACTGAAACAAGGAAAATCTACAAATTGAATGTAAATATTTTTACAAATTTTATTGAGGCTTAGATATTGTTAATATTATCTTAGCTTCTCAGGCACAGAATTTGGAAGGCACTGAAGAAATTGAAAGAAGACGGAACCAGAGACAAATCTAAAATACCGGTAAATATGTTACATTTGTTTTATTAGGCATGCTTACTCCTATCTAGTGTTCATTTTGATTTTAGTTCGATATAATATTTTTCTGATTATGTTATTACTGATACAATAATGCACCAAGTATTATGTTTATTGCTGGCATTTATTATTTATTTAAAAGACGGATAGAAGGAAAATCTATAAATTACGAGTAAATATTTTTCGAATTTTATGAGACATAGATATTTTTAATGATATTCTAGCTTCTCAGGCACAGAATAATGTAGAAGTAAGAAAAAGACTGATACAAGGAAACAATGAAGAACTTAGGAAAAGACTGAAACAAGGAAAATCTACAAATTGAATGTAAATATTTTTACAAATTTTATTGGGCTTAGATATTGTTAATATTATCTTAGCTTCTCAGGCACAGAATTTTGAAGGCACTGAAGAAATTGAAGGAAGACGGAACCAGAGACAAATCTAAAATACCGGTAAATATGTTAGATTTTTCATTAGGCAGGCTTACTTTTTTCATTTAGTGTATATTTTGATTTTAAGTCAATATAATAATTTTCTGAATATATTATTACTGTTACAATAATGCAACAAGTATTACGTTTATTTCTGGCATTTAGTATTTATCAATAAAGCGTTTGTAGTAATTTGCTTTATCATACTTGCCTATCTTTTATGTCATAATCATTATTTTCTCTTCTATTTTTGAGATATTTTCAACTGGAAACGATAACGTGACACCGACAAAAAAAGAAAAGTATTAACAGGGCTCGCCATGGATTTTTTGTTTTTTTATTTTTCATAGATAGATTAGTCCCATTCCCGCCATTAGGAATAATGGAGTTTTTATTAGGCTTAGATATTTTTAATGTTATTCTAGCCTCTCAGGCACACAAGTATGAAGACACTGGAAAAATCAAGAAAAGACTGATGAGAAAATAATCTAAATTACATGTAAATATTTTTCGAATTCTATGAGGCTCAGATATTTTTAATGGTATTCTAGCTTCTCAGTCACAGAATTATGAAGAAGTAAGAAAAAGTCTGATACAAGGAAACAATGAAGAAGTAGGAAAAGACTGAAACAAGGAAAATCTACAAATTGAATGTAAATATTTTTACGAATTTTATTGGGGTTAGATATTGTTAATATTATCTTAGCTTCTCAGGCACAGAAATTTGAAGGCACTGAAGAAATTGAAAGAAGACGGAACCAGAGACAAATCTAAAATACCGGTAAATATGTTACATTTGTTTTATTAGGCATGCTTACTCCTTCTATCTAGTGTTCATTTTGATTTCAGTTCGATATAATATTTTTCTGATTATGTTATTACTTATACAATAATGCACCAAGTATTATGTTTATTGCTGGCATTTATTATTTATTAATAAAGCGTTTTTGATAATATCCTGTATCCATACTTGCCTATCTTATATGTCATAATCATTATTTTCTCTTCTATTTTTGATATATTTTCAACTGGAAACGATAACGTGACACCGACAAAAGAAGAAAAGTATTAACAGGATCGCCATGGCTTTTTTGTTTTTTTATAATTTATTTGTTATAGATAGATTAGTCCCATTCCCGCCATTAGGAATAATAGGGTTTTTATTTAGGCTTAGATATTTTTAATGTTATTGCTAGCCTCTCAGGCACACAAGTATGAAGACACTGGAAAAATCAAGAAAAGACGGATAGAAGGAAAATCTATAAATTACAAGTAAATATTTTTTCGAATTTTATGAGACATAGATATTTTTAATGATATTCTAGCTTCTCAGGCACAGAATAATGTAGAAGTAAGAAAAAGACTGATACAAGGAAACAATGAAGAATTAGGAAAAGACTGAAACAAGGAAAATCTACAAATTGAATTAAATATTTTTTACAAATTTTATTGGGCTTAGATATTGTTAATATTATCTTAGCTTCTCAGGCACAGAATTTTGAAGGCACTGTGAAGAAATTGAAAGAAGA